CAGTGCTTGATCCATTATACCACATATTTTTACGGGACTGTGCCACGTTTTTATATTCATCTTCTGTTACCTGGTGTTGCTTCTGTCTTCTGCACGTATCTTTTAAAAATCTGTGTTGGTTGGTGAGTTCCTTGTTTCTTTAGACAAATCCCATTTTCTTCTTCTTTGGAATTGTTTCCCTTTTTATCTTTAAAAAAAGTTTCATTTAAGCATCTCATCCCTCTCATGCCAACTTTCCCGAAAGCATTTTAGTGCATGGAATCCTATGTATCTTTCCTATCCACTTTTTGAAATCTATTTTCCCAAAATCAAACTATGTGTGTGTCAGACTATGCCAGAATTCCTCTCCTTTATCACAAACCTGATTATGGAGTGGTTATTCCCTTGATTCCAAGATTTCCATCATGTCCACTCTTACTGAATCCTTCATCTATTCCCTTCAACCTTCCTCACTTCCCTTTCATTGCTGAGAGTATCACCATTCTCTCACTCATCCTGGCTTGAAACTCTGGGTGTCATCCTCAATTTCTCACTCTGCCTCACTTCTCATATCCAATCAATTGTGAAGTCCTATCCTTTCTACCTTGTTAACATCTTTTGTATATGCCTCTTTCTCTCCTCTGACACTGCCACCACCCTAATACGGGCTCTCCTCACCTTATGCCCAGGCTATTACAATAGCCTGCTGGTTTGTCGACCTGCCTTGAGTCTCTCTTCATTTCAATCCATTCTCCACTCAGCTATCAGATGGGTCTTTGTAAAAGTGCTGCTCTGACCACGTCTGTCACTCCACTTCTCCTCACTTCTGCCCCTTCAATCGATTCCAGTGGTGGGGACCTCCAGGATCAAATAGAAAATCCTCTATTTGACCTTTAAAGCTCTTCATAACAACCCCTTCCTACTTTTCCCACTCTTCTTATTCCTTCTTTCCCTGTCTACATTTTTCTGTGCTCTAACGACACTGGGATCTTTGTTGTTCTTCTCACACAATGTTCCATCCCCTGACTCCCAGCATTTTCACTGGCTGATGCGAATGCCCAAAATCTTCTGCCTCCTCATCTCCATCTCTTTGCTTTTCTAGTCTCTTTTAAGGGTCAGCTAAAGTCCTACCTTCTGGAAGAAGTGTTTCCCAGTCCTTCTTAATCTTAGTGCCTTTCCTCTGAGACCATCTGCAATAGATCATGTTGTATATATGTATCATGTATTGTTTATGTGTGAGTTTGTGTGTATATATATATGTATATGTATATATATATGTGTATATGTATATGTGTATATATGTATATATATGTGTACATGTATATGTGTATATATGTGTATATATGTATATATATGTGTGTGTATATATATACATACATATATACACATATATATACATATATACACATATACATATACACATTATATATACATATATATGTGTATATATGTATATATATGTGTGTGTATATATATATACATATATATACACATATATATACATATATATACACATATATATACATATATATACATATATATATCTAATATATCTATCTCATGTCTGTACATAGCTGTTTGCATGCTGTCTTCCTCAATAGACTGTGATATAGGACTATCTTTTGCTTTATTTGTGTCCCTAGAACACATTTATGTATTCATGTATTTATTTTTAATTTTCATTTTTTAGAATTTTGAGTTCCAAATCCTTTCCAGTCCTTCCCCCTCCCCACTGAGAAGGCAAGCACTGTGATACCTATTATATATACATATATATGTGTGTGTGTATGCAAAACATTTCCATATTAGCCATGTTGCCAAAAAAAAAAAAGAGCAAGAAAAACAAAGCGAAAAAAAGTATGCTTCAATCTGATGAACCCAGGGTTCATCAATTCTCTCTCTGGAGGTCGATTGCATTTCTCATCATGAATGCTTTGGAACTGGCTTGGATCACAAGCCACAATCACAGTTGATCATCATTATAATATTCCTGTTACTGTGTACAGTGTTCTCCTGGTTCTGCTCACTTTTCTTTGTATCAGTCCATACACATCTTCTTTGGGTGTATACCTTGTACAAAACAGGCACTTAGTAAATGCTGCCTTTCATGACCCCAACAACTTGTATCTCCTTATTAATGAGAATCAGACTGGGAATAAAATTTTACCTTGTTTGTTCCTTCTTCACCTTTTACATGCTGGAATTATCAATAAGGCAAGTCAAGAATTTATTTGGTACTCTCTGCTTTTGGTGGTGGGAAAAGAGAGACACAGACACACAGACAGAGACAGAGACAGACAGAGAGACAGAGAAAGGGAGAGGCAGAGACACAGGAAGAGAGAGACAGAGAAAAAAAAGACAGGGACAGAGGCAGAGACAGAATGATTGACGCATTTAGCAAGCACTATGTGGAAAACATTATACTAGGTGCTCAAGATGTAGAAAGAAAAGCAAGATGGTCTTTGCTCTCAAGGAGCTCATCTTCTAAAGGAGGCAACATATCGAATGTTTCAGTAGCAAGTTGAATGGAAAGGTTTCCATGATCATTAGGATGCAGCAGGCAAGCAGATAGTCGTTTAACCCTATTTGCTTCAATTTTCTCATCTATAAAATGAGCTGGAGAAAGAAATTGCAAATTCCAGTATCTTTGCCAAGAAGACCCTAAATGGGGCCATGAGGAGTTGGGCATGAAAGAAAAAATGATTGACCAACAACAAAAAGAAGATGGGGAAGGGGAAAGAGGGAATTTATTTCTAGGGTAATTTTACTAAATTTGGAAGAGAGATGGGAGCGAACTAGAGGGTTAAAGAGGATGTGTATATATCCAGTAAGAGACTGTCAGAGGTGGAATGAACTGGGTTGTGAGTTCATAAGGACTGAGGAAAGAGAGAAACATGGTGTGAATGAAAGAGGCAATGGGGTCAGACAGTTTTTCTTAGCTTGGCTGTTGTTTGGAGTTGGGTGTTAATGGTATTGCAAAAAAAAAAAAACAGTCTTGGGCTAACTAGAAATCTTAGGATCCTAAGATCACAGATTGAGAGTTGGAAGGAAGAAGTCATCTATATAGCTATATGAAGCCGATAAGTCATGAATTTGTAACTAGGCCTCTTTGTTTATTAAATTTTTCACTAGGCCTTTAATCATTTTGCTCACAAGTTTCCTTTTGACTCTGGGTATTTGACCCAATGTTAATTTTCCTGGTTAATAAGTGGATTTAGTCATTGTCATTTCTTTAGCAAGTTATGCAAAATGACACAATTCTTAGGTGAGCTATTTTACTCATATTTAAAAAAAAATAAGAGAGGTACAGAAAGAAGTGGCTTTCCTAAAGTAAATACAATGAACCAGTGGGTGAGATCCCCTTGAGGCAGAGTTGAAAATAAATATAAGAATAAATGTTCAGAATATCAGTAAGGCTTACCTTAATAGTGCATTGACTAAAATAAAAGGAGAGATGTATTTAATTAATACATCTGGGATGTGCTAGTCTAACTAAAATGTATTTCACAGGACATCAGAGCTTTTAAATGTAAATGTCTCTAAAAACAGAATACATTGTAAGGGTAACCAAGTTATCCCTCTAGCAGGTCTATCTTGTACATGTTATCTGTGGCTGTGAAGAGTTGATGGTTTTGATTGTATCCATTAAGTACATCTGCTACAAATGGGACTTAATGAGTCTCCATTAACTGGGTTTCGTATTGTACTGGTTTTGAATTGCAGGAGACAGCACCCTGAATAGAGAGGCACTAATTAAGTGTATTTCTTGGAAGGGGATTTGTGTCTGTCTGTGGTGTGTATTTCTATTTTAAACGACTCTTCCTTTCCCATATTCTGCCCTGTCTCCCCCCAACCCTCTCAATTCTACTCTTACTAGTGAGGCCAGGGGACATTTATTAAGCTTTTATTAAATATGGAAATTCAGTTTTATGACAAAAGAATTATAGGAAGGTCTCACCTCAGCTAGAGTATAGTAAAATTTGCAAATGTCACAATCTTCATTTTTATTTCTCTAATAATTATTTACCAACCTCCTAGACATGAGAAATAAGTGGATTCTTTTCTATTCATGAGAACTTTGGGATAATCAGGAGTAGGAAAGACTTGGAAAAATTAATGTATAAGACTACCCACAGTGTTAAGGTTCCAGACAGCAAGTTAATTGAAGTAATAAAGAATTTATTTCGAAAGGGGGAACAAATAAAGAAGGAAACGAGAGAGCACTTGGTCAAACTAAGTCTCCAAAACAACTCCCCCTACCATAATTCATTACTCATGTTTATTTTTCTTAATTATTTGACATTTTTGATTTTATTGTTTCAGAATCAATTTACTTATTTGGAGCAGTCTTCATTACTTTATTATTATTACTATTGTTAATATCTAGCACTCTATAGCACTTTCAGGTTTGCAAAGTACTTTATAGATGCTATCTCATTTAATCCTCACAATAACCCTCTGATGTAGGGACTTTAATAGGATACCAGGTAGTATAATGGATAAAGCACCAGGCCTGGAGTCAGGAAGACCTGAGTTCAGTTTGGCTTCAGACATTTACAAGCTGTTTGACTCTGGACAGTCACTTAACCTCTGTTGGCCTCAGTGTCTTCATCTGTAAAATGAGGGTAATAATAGCACCTATATTCCGGGATAAAATGAGATAATAATTCTAAAGCACAGTACCTGACATAGAGTAAGCACTATATAAATGTATATATTATATATACAAATATATAAATATTATAAATTGGTATTATGTCACTTGTAAGTAATATACATATATTATTATTATTACTTTCATTTTACAGATGAGAAAACTGAGGCTCAGAGGTTAAGTGAATTGCCCAGGGTCATACAGCTAGTAAGTGTCTGAGGCAGGATCTGAACTCAACCCTTCATGACTCCAAGTCCAGCACTGTATCCACTAGATAGAAAGAAAACAAGGTGGGCACAGCCAGTTTTTTTTGTTTTGTAGTGGCTTGTTTTATTTGTTGGTGTTCTTCCCCTCCTCCACCTTCCAGGGTTACAGAAGCGGATTTCCAACTTAAAGAAGTGAATGAGAGAGTGTCCTCCATAAAGGAGTCTTTGCTCTCTCTGGACAGCCATGTGGGACACCTGCAGGATCTCTCTGCCCTGACTGTAGATACATTGAAAGTACTTTCGGCTGTTGACACCCTGAAACTGGAAGAAGCCCTGTTGGTCTGCTCAAAACATGCTGCTTATAGAAAACTCCCCCACAGTCGGAGCAATGTCATCTGCTCAGGGATGCTGAACAACTTGGAAAACTCTGGGGAGATGAACTGTCAGAATTACAGCATGCCCCTGTCCTTGTTTCAGAGCCGGATGAGAAGCTACCACCTTTCTGGAAGGCGAAAGAGTTCCCTTGTAGGGATCATGGACAGTCAAGAAGAAAAGGACCAGGAAAAGAAAGGAACACCAAATGGTCCAGTTACTGTGTTTCTTGACAGCAAATCTCCTCCTAACCTTAGTCAGTTTCTCTTGGTTTCTCCCAGTCCAGCAAAGACTTCTCTTTCGGCAGAAGCTGACATGGCTATATCTCCTCCAAAACCTGCAGCTGAGCCTGGGTTGGGTTGGTTGGCAGTCGAATCACATGCCAGTCAGGAGGTTTGTCCTTTTCGTATGAATTGTCAGACGTCATCTGCTGTTGAGAAAGAGTCAGTTGAAGATGCCCATGAACAGTCTAATCTTGCCATGAATAGATCAATGAGAAAAAACAATGGAAATCACCTTCTGCTGACTAGCTGTTCTATCCCTCAATCGGTGAAAATGACCTCACTTCCTTGCCAGACACACAGTTTGAGAGCAGGAGGTGGCTATGTGAATTGGGCATTTTCAGAAGGGGATGTTGCGACCTCACTTCCTTGCCAGACAGACAGTTTGAGAGCAGGAGGTGGCTATGTGAATTGGGCATTTTCAGAAGGGGATGATGAAACTGGTGTGCTTAGCACAAAGAAAATATGGCTTTCACAGTTGCCCTCCAAGTGTAAGTTGGACTGTTCAGGCAGCGGTCACTGCCAAGTCTTGATGGGGACAACCAGTTCCCTTAACCACAACTCAGCAAGGTCATTCCAGTCCAGTAAAAGTTCAAATTCAGAGTCATCGTTCCAGCCCAACATATGCATTTGGAACAGTCCCCTACATAGAGATTGGACCTTTCTCCAAAATGGCAGCTTTAGATCTCATAAGGAGAAGAAATTGATGGAGACCTGCAAAAGCAAAGGCAAGGAAAGGATATCTTTCCATCTATACCAAATCATCTGTCTTAAACATTCCCAGATTTTCTCGAGGTCTTTGACCTTTGATTCCCCCCACCCCAATCTTTCCTATGTTCTAGTTCTACTTTATAAAAATAATTTGTTTTTCCAAAACAGTGACCTCAGTCTTGCATTTCCTGTTTATTGTACTCAATCATGTCTTCCACAGATTTTTCAAGACTCTCAGAGAGGTCCCAGTCAGTGTGGGCCAAAGCAAAATTTCTAAGTAAGGAAAGGAAATTGTCAAAAGAAAAGAAAAAACTGCAGCCATTTCAAGTTCCGGTAGGTGTGGACTAATTTCAAAAGCCACATTTTCTTCTGGTTTCTCTTGGTTATTGTTTTGATGTGGTCACTTGCCTAAACTGCTATTCCTTATTTCAGAGTGCCACATACAGTGTAAGAAAGATGACCCACAAAAGAGATATTATATGTGATGGTATGGGGAATTGAAGGGAGTTTCCAATCCACTTTTGTAATATTAAGATTAATTTCAAATTCCTATATCCCTGTGCTTTGGAATCTTCCATGAGCAATAGTGGGAAATCCATAGCAGCAGAAATACTAAGTTAATCCTAAACATATTGTTGAGATCATGAGACTCCTCTTTACTCCTGATTTCTTTTATTCTTTGTTCTCCTCTCCCTTCCCCCCCCCCAGCAGTTCCTTTCTTTTTTCCTTGACATTTGGCTTTAGTCCTGTCAGTGATGCCCATTCTGTCACTCTGGGCCATGGCTTATTCAAACAGGTACCATTTTACTGTTTATGCATAACGTAGCCTCATCTCTGACCAGGTAACACGAAATAAATATGAATCCATTTTCCAAGGTCCACCGTTAATGCTTGCTCTGTAGAGCTGATCAGAATTTCCAACTCTCATTGACTCTCGAAGTAGCTCTATTCGTGGATAAACAGCTGTAGGAGGAATGGGCGCCACTCATCAATCAGTAGGCCGTTGTGAAGTGCCTACTATGTGTCAGGCACTATGCCAGTGATTCTTTTGTTTTGAAGATAGTACTAAGATGAGGGACAATGAAGTTAATGACCTAAAACTCTAATGGAATTTTAGTTTTTTCAGTCTCTACTAAGGTAAGATCCTAAAAGTGTTTCTTTCAGCCTCTTATAATTATATAGTTTCTTTCATGTTTTCCTTTCTACCCCTGGGGAAGAGAAAGAGTACTTATCTCAGAAACTTGAGTACAACATTTAAAAAAATATATTTTACCCCTTGAAAACCAAAATTTGAGTTATGGATCTTGGGGTATGGGATATGATACAGTTTAATTATAGTGTGAAATGTCAAGGCTGTAGAATTGATCTCTCCTTTGAAACCTGGTGACAGAGTGCAAGAGGATGTTGAGTACAATTTGATTGGCATTTCATATTAACTCCCCCTCTTCTCATCATTCTCTCCCAAGAACTATTGCTTGTGTTTTTATTAATACAGCACTAATGTTGTCAAGAAAGTATAACTTTAGATTGTATTTATTGACTTCAGAAAGTAACAGACATAAAGGATGGCTGGCCAAATATTTACTCTACCTTTATAATAGTAATCTATTTGGAGCACCCATGTGGGTGTCTCATTTTAGTGTGAATCCATCAGCGATAGCCAAGGGACTCTTAAGTTATTTTGAAGACTTGTCTACATGTGACCTACCAGGACAACACTGCTCTCCTTCTTTGACATAGATTTTGAAGGTGGGCTCTACTGTCCACGTGATCATTCAGACCTGTAAAATCTAAATTTAGCCATAGAATTAGGACCATCAATTTGGAGTGGCAAAGTACTTTTAAAATCTTTGAGTCTAAGCATTTCATTTTTAAGATGAGGAAAGCGAGCATCTACTAAAAGGTTAAGTAATGTGTCTAGAAGAGTCATGTAGTTAGGAAGTCGTCATCTGGGGCAAGATTTGAAACCAGATCTTCCTGACTCCAATTCCACTGCTCTAGCCACCATTTCACACTGCCTCAAAAACCATTTAGATGGTTCCTCACTGATTTATTGGTCCTACTGCTTTTTCTCTGAATTCTCCTTTTCTTCTAGGAACAGGGGCATGTAAGGTTACACACATACACACATACACACGCGCGCACGCGCATGTATGCATATGTATAGATGTATATGCACATATGTGTATACATATGTATACTAACATACATGTCTATATAGAATATTCTATCAAGAATATATGTATATATATGTGTATATATAGAATATTCTATCAGAGGGGCATGTGAGATTATACATATATATCTATATGTATGCATGTATGTATATGTATATATGTGTGTATATGTATACATAATGTCTCTACATAGAATTTTTGGAACTAGTAAATATCTGATTGCTAAGATAATTGTTGCTCTTTGTGAGGAAAGACTTCAGAACAGAGAAGAGACAGCAACATTTTTTCTCTCTAACCATTAGGAATTCAGTTTTACTTGGGACGGCAGTACATTTTTCTTTATCTGAACAGTTTTGGGACAGTCCGTATTAAATAGGCGTAAGATTGGATTGCCCTGCTTAGATATCATTTGGACAATCTGGAACAATAGGAAATATATTCTTTTTTTCTTTTTTTTTAAATTTGAGACAAATATATAGACTACATGGTCTACATGGTCTAGTTTTATAGAAAATCAAGGAATTTTCTACCTAGTTTCCGGGTTATCTCATTTCTCTCTTAAGTGCTTTCTTGCTTTCTGTAATGCCATGGACTTTATACTGGGCAAATCCGATTATCCATTTTTCTGATAGCTGCTATTCATGTAGATTGTCCCTAGTGATCATAATGGCCCTTTAGAGTTTGATAGCAAACTAGCACAAGTTTCCTAGCTTAGTTATTATCATTACAAAATAAATTTAAATTTTAAATTTTTAGAGAATGGTCTGTGTCCTTTAGGAAAATGTAGTCTAAGATGAGCATATAAAGTTACACACACACACACACACACACACACACACACACACACATACACACACACACACGTAGTGAAGCTGTTGTAGTTGGGACATCCAGTCTCATGTCTATAGATAGACTTGTGTTTGGAATAGTTCAAAAGGCTTAGATGATAAACAATCATACTTTCAGATGAACAGTTCTTTAGTAACATCTATCTTTTTCTACAGGTGATAACAGTGAATACCTGTGGTACACAGCTGAATTCAGAACCAGCAGAGAAAACGTTCTCAGGGGAAGAAAAAGAGGATGATAAAAACCAGCTTACCACCTCCGAAGGTAGTCAGATAAGTATGTAATGACCAGTGCAAATTTCAAGACTTTAGAATATATCTTTAGGGGTATATTCCTATGTAAATATGAACCCTGACTATTGAAGGTAGTGAATGTTTATTTTATCATAGCCACTTAATAGAGAAAGCTAGGCTAAGAATATACCATATGGTTCAGAAAACTAACTCAGAACTGAGTCACCTATAGATAGAATGAAAAGCATCTGACAGACTAATACTAAACATGATTGAATTATTTGGAGGAAGGCCAGAACACTAACCTTAGAACAGAAGGGCTCTTTCTAGGAATTAACCTTTTCCTGTTCTTTCTTTTCCTATTTAATGTGATAGGAGCCATTTTGTGTAGCTTTTCACACCTGGTTATTCATTAGGAATGTCCCCTCCTGCCCTATCCTCTGCTTTTGAAGAATAATATAATATTAGGATATAGAAATAAAATAAATATTGGTGATTATTGAGTCTAGATCTCTCATTTTATAGGTGAAAAAAATTGAAGACTTTGTTCATGCTCAAGCAGAATAAATGTTTTTGTCTCAATCTACCTCACTTTCTCCTCAAAGTTATCAAATAGATAATACATATAGAGCATGTTACGAATGGGAAAGAGCTATATAATTATCTGTTATTGTCTTATGCAAGATTATCTCTACTAGTTCTTTAAGTGGAAGGGAAAGGATATTGTTAGTGAAACAACAAAAGCACCCGCAATAATGCGTCAGTTCTACAAGGTGTGGGCAATTCTGACAGGTGCAGATTGCAACTCCTCTAGTATCGATAGAGCTGTTATGATCAGGTTCATCACCCTTGGCCCAACATGTTAATGACCTTTTTTTTTTGGTCTCACACACACACACACACACACACACACACACACACACACACACACCCCTCCCCCCACAGAGTTTTCCATTTCACTCAGTTATCTGAGAACCATATTGAAACAGTAAGAGCAGTGGAATCCATTGGTGCTCTTGCGCGCTCTCTCTCTCTCACTCACTCTCTCTCTCTCTTCTTTCTTTTTCTTCCCTTCTCTTCCTTTCTTTCTTTTTTCTCTTTCTCTCTTCCTTTTTCCTTCCCTTCCTCCCTTCTTCTCTTTTTTCTTTCTGCAGTGAGAATACACAATTTCTGAATTGTATTAATAGAATAGCAATAAATGATTAGAAAATCATTAAACCAGGCAACCAACTGGTATTTATGATTTCCTAGGCAAACTACTGAGAAGAAAGACAAAGGAAAGGAAAGCTCACATTCAGAATTATAGAGAGGAGGGTAAAATTTGTACTGATCTGTGTTGAGTACATGATGTTTGTTGTATCATGGTCAAATGCTTGTTGCCTATGTCCAAAGTGCAGGCTAGTTTACCTCTTGCAGTTTACCTCAATTAATGGCATCCCTTCTTGAGGTTTTCAGCGAGAGCGAAGTGTACCCACAATAATGGGAGAATGGTTAGGGCAAAAAGAATATGAAGAGGCAATGAGGAATTCTGACTCATGTTAGGAGGCTAGAAAGTAGAACATGATATAGAGAAGAAAAGCCTCTGACTACTTGGAGCTAAAAAACATGAGGTTTCCCAAAGAATAGGGACCTGGACCCATCGAGCAGGAAGCATTGTCTTGTGCTGGAGAAAGACAAGTCCAGTAGTGGGAGTTGGTGATTTTCTGCTGAAGGATACAGAAGCAGCTCTCTATAAGCCCAGTAATAATCTTCATGGAGTCTTTTGGCTTCCTCAGAACATGTATCTGTAGAGTACCTAGGAGAGTATAGAGAAACTCTGAAGATTTTAACACACGGGATGATAACTACCTGCTTCTGGCAAAGATACAAATGATGTAACCAGATGCAACCTGGAAAGCATTGCTAAAGGTTAAGATATTGTGGATAAAGTGCTGAACTTGGAGTCAGGAAGACTCATCTTTATGAGTTCAACTCCAGCCTCAGACACTTAACTAACTGTGTGACCCTAGGCAAGTCACTTACAACCCTGTTTGCCTTCATTTCCTCATCTGTAAAATGAGTTGGAGAAGGAAATGGTAAACCACTCTAGTATCTTTGGCAAGAAGACCCCAAATGGGCTCACAAAGAGTCAGACCCAACCGAACAATGACTGAACAAAAAAAGATTAAGAAGTCTTGAACAAGAAAATGAAAACCTTTTAATTATAAAATATCATTTTCAGAAGGAGAAGGCAGATTTCAGAAAAGAACAGCTAATTAAGAAGTTGGTTTTGGATATTTTAACCACAAGTTAATATAATTACTGGGCAGGTATTTGAGGGATTTGAGAAAGGTAATTCTCTCAATTTTCATTAAAAAAAAAATAAAAGAGAACAGAGCCTTTAGATCATGGGCCAGTGAACAATAAACTATTGGAGAGAATTAGTACTGTCTGAAGCAAAGGGGGTGTATTGTTGAGTAGTGGGAATAAGATTAGGTAAGTGGTGTGGGGCCAGAGTAAGAGGATTGAAAGTCTGACAGAGGACTTTAGAAAGCTTGCTTGATTTAGCTCACTGAGTGGTTGAGAGGAGCAAATGAAATTATGAGTATAATGTTGCTACTGCTCAGTCAGTTGAGAAATTATGTATGTATGTATGTATGTATGTTGTTGTTATTCAGTTATGGCTGACTTTGTGACTTTTAATGACCCCATGGACCATTCTGCCCATGGCATTTTCTTGGCAAACATACTGGAGTGTTTGGCCATTTCCTTCTCCAGTAGATTAAGACAAACAGAGGTTAAGTGACTTCTCCAGGGTCACATGGCTAGTAAGTATCTGAGGATGTATTTGAACTTGGCTCTTCCTGACTCTAGGCCTAGCATTCTATCCACTGCTGCCCCAATGTTGTGCATAGTGCTTTGTAAACCTAAGTATAATAGAATCATAAGTTGTCGTTATTGTTGTTCCAGATGCACTAGGTAGTAGCAAGCCATGTTTTGGAGCAAAGGATCATAAATATAAAATAATCATAAGCAGAGTATTTAAGGCACACTTCCTTCCAAAGACGGATTTGAATCCAGTCTCTCTGAATCTAGAATTACTGCTTTTTTCTACATAGCTTCATTAAAACAGGTCATCTCAGACTAACCTAATTCCTTTTTTTGGATATAATTACTAAACCAGTAATAGTAGCTAGCATTTACATAGCACTTCAAGGTTTATAAAGCACGTTACATATGTTATCTCATATGAGTTTCACAACAACCCTGTGAAGTGAGTGCTATTAATATCCCTATTTTACAGATGAAGAAACTAAGGTGAAGAGGTTAAATGACTTGCTTAGGGTCTCTTAGCTGGTAAATGTCTGAAATAGTACTACCTAAGTCCCAGTCCTATGCTCTAGCCAACATATCACCTGATTGCCTAGAGAAGTATATGAGGGGAATGCTTGAGAGAACTATTTCTTTACCTAGATGTTAGTAAGCGGCAGCTAAATGGTGCCATAGTGCACAGAGCACCAGGCCTGGAGTCAGGAAGACTCACTTCCTGAGTTCAAATCCAGCCTCAGACACTTAGTAGCCTGGGCAAGTCACTTAACCCTGTTTGCCTCAGTTTCCACATCGGCAAAATGAGTTGGAAAAGAAAACTATACTCCAGTATCTTTGCCAAGAAAACCCCAAATGGGGTCATGAAGAGACTGACACAAATGAATGACAAAAAAGTGAAGTGCTTGATAAGGTCTGTTGTGCTATTGTGTGTGTATGTATTGTGAACTAGATATATAGATAAAAGCAATATAATAGTGTAATTATGTGGATTTGGAAATGTCTGAATGGCAAGACTCAAATAGTAGTCAATGCCAACTTGGGAAGGCAGCATGGTATGATGGAAAGAGTAACAGCTTTGAAGCAGGGGTACTTCAGTTCAGATCTTGACTCTCCCAATTACTTCTTGTGTGACCCAAAGAAAGTCTTATAATGTCTCTGGGCCTCAGTTTTCTCAACTGTAAATGGGGTTGGACTAGATGGCTGACAAAGTCCTTTTGTCTTTAAATCTATGACCCTTTGATTGTATGCATTATTAAATGCCTTATTTGGTCATTAGGTGATGGATTTTTAGTTCATATTAACTTCTAGAATTATCTACCAAGGCTTGGAGCAATTGTGATTGTATAGGTGGAATGTCAAGCCATTTAAGGAATGAGAGATTTACCACTATATTTACCATGGATGAGAAGGATGCTAGGAATATCTAATTAAGGCCAATGTCAGAAGGTGACAGAAATCTAGTACAATAAAGAGAAGTGGTTATCTCAAGACGCTCCCAAGTAGGAACTTAAGTATCATTAAATTTATTCAGTAAACATTTATCTGATACTTCCCAGTCCAGAGCAGTGAATTGTCACTGAAGGAGACACACAATATAATTAAGAAATGGTTTCTGCCTTCATGGAGAGTACAGTCTAGTGAGGCATATACCATAAATAAAAATAATTATAATAGTATATATGATAAATGCTGCAAAAAACCCTGACATTTTAGGCAGAGGGAGGCTTTGGAGGGAAAGGTCATAATTAACTCAAGGGATCAGGGGAGACTTCTTGGAGAAAACATCATTTGAGGTAGGCCGAAAGAATGAGAATTGTATGAAATAAAGCTGGAATGGTAAAAGTGATGTCAGATGGTCATTTAGTGATGTCAGCCAAATCAGAGAATCTAATTTTGGAATATTTAGGAAAAAGAGAAGGGCTAACAAAATTTTTCTGGAGGCTTGTTTAAATACCATCAGTAGATTTCTGTGGAAATCACTTAGGAAAGTAAGACTCATGTTTCTGACTTTCCCAGCAGGTACTTTTTCTGATTCAGAATAACTTGTAAGAATTATGTCTATTAGCAATTCCTCCTATGTCATTGAAGGGAAAATGGGCCTTTTGAATTTCCTAGTCACCTCTTCTGCTCAGAATAGACTCATTAGGAAAAAAAGGCCCCAGTCACCTCTAGTGTTTTGCTAATGACTATTAATGAGTGATGTTTTCACACTATTATCATCTACCGTTTTATTTTAAAACTTTTTGATATATTTTGTTTTTTCTTAATCTTCATTTTCAAATAAATCCTTCCATATACACTTAATGTAAAATTTAAAAGCTTTTTTTTGGGGGGAGGGTAGGCCTTCAATAATTTCTTCATATTCTCCCAACATCTGCAATAATTATACAACATAAGAAGTGTGCTATATTATGCTTTGGCATAGAGCTCATAAATGCCCATACTCTGAAGCTAAAAAATTAAATAAAACCAGTTTTTACTTGATAAGTGTGGACTTTATTCCTTAGCACTTTTTATTTTTTAGTGGAGAGGACTGAGACCTGTATTTTTGACCTAAATTTCTCCTAGCACTGTTAAGTAAATATATTGTTCTGAGATTTTTTTTCTTTCAGCTTCTTGCTTCTGATCCCAAAGCATACAAACACTTTTAATTCTATTTTGGGAAGAAAAAAAAAATTGTTTAAATGAAAAAAAATTAATATGGGCTTTAATTTTCTTTTAAATTACATTTAGCACCACATATATACCAGAAAATGAAAACTCAGAAAACTGACAGACATGCCGTGGGCACCAGTGACTACCTGAAGCAACCCCATGAGGTAAGAAATTTTATTTGACAGGTGACATATAGAGATAACTTTTCTAACTTGTTGATCTCATTAATTCCACCTTTCTGTCCTCTCATTTATTCCTCCTCACCCCTACTGTAAATTTATTTTCTGTGTTCTTTATTTTGGTACTCTTAACTAAGTATTGTTTTTTTTTTCAAACTCATCTCATTCTTTGCCTGTTGTTCTTTTCACTTCTCCACTTGCTGACCTTTGGCCTTCTTTCCTCCATCCAATTCTTTGATTCAACAAATACTTACTGAGTATGCATTCTATATGAGGCGCTGTGCCAGGCCAGGAGGAAATGAAAAGATGAGGAGCTTACAGTCTAGTGGGAGAGACAAGATTTGGTCACAAAAAGGTGTAGTATACAGAGGAAATGTTTTTATTTTCATTGAGGCCTCTTATCTCTGCACCTTTCTCTTTTCTCCCAGTTCATTACATTTGTTCTTTTTTTTTTTCTTTTCCTTTTTGGTGAGGCAATCGGGGTTAAGTGACTTTCCCAGGCTCACACAGCCAGTAAGTGTCACGTGTCTGAGGCTGGATTTGAACTCAGATCTTCCTGACTCCAAGGACAGAGCTTTATCCACTGTGCTACCTCGCTGTCCCCCACGTTACATTTGTTCTTATTTCACTTCTGTCTTTCGCAGTCTTGATCTCAACATTGTACTAGATGAATGGAATGAATGAATGAGAAAGCATTTATTCAGGGTTTACTCTGTGTTAGGTACTGTGCTAAGCACTGAGAATACAAATGTAAGCGAACAGGGTAGTTCCTGACTTCAGGTAGCTTATTTCTGACGGAGAAAGACAGTGCGTAAGGGAAACTAGGTGGAGGGTAGAACATGTGTGGTGGCTTGGTTTGAAAATGTTAGAGAAGTAGCATAGGTAGTCTAGTGCTGGGTAAGATAAGGTGGAAGCTTACCTCTTAGAATACAGGATCTGAGGGGAACAGTCTGAATTCCATTAGCAAGCCATGAGGAAATTTTGTCTTTGAATACTTTGTCGCTTATCATATTGGCAGTCGTATCTGGTCTAACACCGAGCCTAAATTATCCTGACTGTCCACTGGCCCTCCATCCAGCCTGGTCTACACACCATAATCCAGGGGATCAAATTCTTTGGGGAAGAGACCAGCCATCCAACTAATTGCCAACCAGTTGTTACAGATGGGGCCAACAAGTCAGGCTAGTTGAAGCAACAAGACACTCTGAGGGAAGACAAGAGGGAGAGATAGCATGTAACAGGAAAGTAAAAAACAAATGGCCAAAACTACTTGCACTCATGCCCCAAAGGCATCAGCCCAGTACCCTCAATGTGGGAGCCCTTGGAGTAGTGAGCTCCTTCAGACCACCAGCCTGGCCCCAATAGTCACCTTCATGAGGAGCTATGGAGAAGATGAAGACTTCTCCTATGGAGAAGAAGCCTGTCATCCTTTCCATGACATGCTGACCTATAGCACTGATGAGCAGGGAAGCCCAAGAGTTTGGAGTATGGCAGTGCCTTCCAGACCGCTGGCCTAGCTTCCAACCGAGACCAGGAAGCCATCATCCAAGGAAGCAACTCTTAGGGGGCACGACCTGGCAACTATTTCTACAAGTTCTCTAACCCCTGTCTCCTCAATGATCCTAGCTATGGATGACCCTGCAAAGAAAGTTCCTGTTGCTGAAGGACTGGGCATGGTCAAATGGTTCGACACCAGAAATGGATGTAGCTTCATTAGTGAAAGTGACATTAAAGAAGATGCGTTGCCTTCTACCTTGCTACTATACCCTAAGGACTGGTGGGCCTTTCCATGTGACTTATAGTTGAGCCTCCTATCTCCACTATTAGAAAGTAATCTTCTTTAGAGTAGGGATTTTCTTGCTTTTCTTTCTATCCCAATACATAGTACAATGCTTTTCACATGGGATTTGGGGCTGGACCTGTGAATTCACTGCTTTAAGGAACTCCTAGTTGCTTATTGTGGATTATGTTTTGATAATGTTTTTCTGAAAGCAAAGGGTTATCAAATGTATTGCATATCCATAATGACTCTCCTTTTTTTTAGGATTTGAGCAGAAATGCTCTCTGCATCACTTGGAACACCAGTCAGAAGAGGAACTCACTGTGAGTATTTTGGAGTCAAGTTTTCACTGTTTTGAGGTGTTTTTGCTTTCTAGCTGGATTTTGCAGGTTTCTAGGCAGAGGTTTTATTTTCAGAAAAATAATTGATGTGGGCAAAAGGCTGCATTTTCCTTTTAGTATCAGAAGGGTAGTAATTATTGATTAATACACAATTTTTACATTTTGGCACAAATGCCTCAACTCTGCCCCCTTTTGATTGTGTGATATGGCTGGATTTGGACTGGGGTTCAAATCCCAGCTTGGCTAATTACTGCTTGTGTGATTTTGAGCAAGTCGATTTATCTTTCTGGGCCTCAGTTTCTTCATTAGCAAAATGAGGTAGATTGTACTAGATGATTTCTAAGGCCCTTTAACTTTTAACATAATAGCCAGTAACTATCACTATATTGTTCTGAGAACTTCTCTTCCTTCTCATCTTATAGCCACCCTCTTGGTGCTGAAAGATTCTCTTAAAACCAAGAAAAAAAATTGTTGATATAGTGTCTTGTGGAGACAATTAATCCACCAATTTGGAATCCATTGAATATGAATCATATAGTAGAAATAGCTCTTTGGCACCTTTTAAAAGCAAAAAAGAGATTAAAGTAGGCTGAGACTAATTACGCTTATGTATCATTTCTTTTCATTCTTTTGTCCTTCAGTTTCTAAGACAATCTTTTTCTTCTTTCTCAGGCTTCTCAGTAACACTATAATTCTCTGTCTTAGCAACAGCTCTGATGATAAAAGTAGGAAACTTAGGGATTTTAGTGCTTTCTGGAATTTTTGTTATCCAAGAGAATAAACCAGGAACTAAAGTGCAAAGAATGCTATGAAATGAATTGGTCACCCAGCAATAGAGATTAACCTTCAGCACCAGTATCTCCATAAAACACTGGTTTTCACCAAGTGAATTAAGTTTTTAGTCACATGTGTTGGTTCTTAAATCCCCTCCAAAGTAAAGTCTATTTGCAGAATTGCTTCTAAACATAAAAAGAAAGTGTGACTATCTTCAGCCTCAGTTTCCTCATCTGTGAATGGGAATAACAATAACAGATAATATAAATGTACATACATGTGTCACTTTAAGATTTGTAAAGTGTACATGTTATCTCCTTTGAGCCGTATAACATTATTAGCCCCATTTTACAGGTGGGGAAACTGAGGCTGAGAGAAGTTAAATCACTTGCCCACAGTCACACAGCTAATAAGTGCCTGAGTCAGGATTCAAACTCAGGTCTTTCTGAATTCAAGTCCAATTACCTAACCAGTATGCAACCAATCTATGATAATACTTGAATTCTAATACCCATACTACCTTCCTCATAGGCTTATTGTGAGGAAATTAACATGCAAATCTTAAATTGCTATATACACGAGTTACTCTTATTTTTTCATTGTGAGGGTGTGAATTTGTTAGTGCGCATAGATAGGATCACAAGTGGCATTGCACTAAATTAAAAAAAATGCCCTGAAGCTATAAAAATTAACTACTTGGGGGCAGCTAGGTCACAGTAGGTAGAGCTCTGGCCTTGGAGTCAGGAGGACCTGAGTTCAAATCCGACCTCAGACACCTGAAACTTACTAGTTGTGTGACCCTGGGCAAGTCACTTAATCCCAATTGTCTCACACACAAAAAAAGACTACTTGTCCAGAGAAACAGTGTGTTACTTGTAGAATGAATAACTGACTTTTATGTCCTAGAAAGAAACTCTTTGCTTTATTTGTTCTAAAGCAACTTGGATTCAGAAATATGTTATACATGATACATAGATGATGAGGAATAGAGACAGAAGTAAAAGATGAGTATAATTACCGTGATAATAATAATAATAATAATAATAATAATAATAATAATAATAATAATAGCTAGTATTTCTGTAGCACTTTAAGGTTTGTAAAGTGCTTTACAATTATTATCTTATTTGATCCTCACAACAACCCTGGGAGGTAGGGCTGTTATTGCCCACATTTTACAGTTGAGAAAACTGAGACAGACACTTAACTGAGGTTAAGCAATAATAGCTATAGCTAACATTTGTATAGTGTTTACAATGTGCGAGGCACTCTACTAAACACATTGTAAGTATTATTTGATCTTCACAACAATCCTGGGAGGTAGGTGCTATTATTATTTGCATTTTACAGATGAGGAAACTGAAGCAAACAGAGGTTAAGTGACTTGCCCAGGGTCACACAGCTAGTACTTGTCTGAGGCTGGATTTGAACTCAAATCTTCCTGACTCCAGGTCCAGTGTTCTGTGCACTATAGTGCTACTTAGCTGCCTAAAGAAATACAGTAACTGACAATATGTAATTGTGATGAATATTTTATTACTCAGTAATTCTTGCTTATTGATTCTGTTTTTTAAGATATCTTGCTGTTCTTGGCCAGTGATTTCATGGCTAGAATTGAATTTTCTTAAGTCCTTGACCAAATGCAAGGCTTTTTTTTGGGGGAGTTGGGGGGGTTATTCCTTAGGGCCACAGTTTATCTGTGGTGGCTTTGATCCAGGAAAGGGACTTTGAGGCTGTATGTCATTTATGCATTTAAAGTTCTTTCACACTTCCAAGTGGTACCTTGCCTTTAAAAGATTTAGACATTGTATTTTATGAGTTGTAGCTGAATCTTGAATGCGTAGCTTCTGTTGTGACTATTTGACATGTTTGTTACTATTTTTGATTAATGAAAGTGTTAAAGCATTATCTAAATTATTTCATTTTAAAACAGGTCGAGAAGTTTAGAAGGAATTGACAGTAAGTCTTAAAATTTTTGAAAATAATTTTTATTTTAATGATCCCCAATAGCCATCCAAATAGTGAAAAAAAATTATGTTTGGGGGTGCTCAGTGTCTGGATACTACCTCAATTCTTCTCTTAGCTTTATGTGTGTAGACAGAGTCACAATGCTCATTTAACCAATTTTACAAATATTCTTCAGCATCTTGCTCCAACCATTCTTTACATATGGTCTGGATAGCAAACCGGGAAGCCCATGTGGTCTAGAATTTCCCTCTCACTGTCTCACATTAGCACTATCCCTCTCCCTTCCCCAAACTCCCCAAAGCATCTGTCATTCCTGGTAGAGGTAACCGAGGGAAAAAGAATCACGATGCCACTTCCCTTTCAGGGAAGGCTAGAAAAGAAGGTGATATTACTTCTTTTTATTGAGTAACTGAGAGCCTAAGATTTTCTTGGAATTAAGCACATTGCATTATTGGTCTTTTGTTTGTGAACTGGTAGTGTGTTGGTGAAAGGCAGCAAGATGTAGGGCCGGCTGTACAACATATGGCCCACAGGCCGCTTGTGGCCTACCCAAGGATTTTTGGTGACCTCCGAAAAATATAGAGGGTGTAAAAGAAAGTAAAGATGTAACGTGTGGTTTGTCTCTCCCCTACTTAACCCCCTTCCACTTGTCACTACTGCGCTCACGTAACTTGGTGGGTGGATTGCCACTGTGTGGGCTCTCTTGTTTTTCACGTGACCTGCAGCAACCAACCATGTCTGTCTAGTGACTAGACTGTCTGTGGCCTGAAGTTTAGCCAATTTTAATTTTGGCCCCTACCTACTGCCAAGTTGTGCAGTTCTGGTGTAGGGGAAAGAATTTTGGTCCTCATTGAAGTGAAAAGAAACTGGAGTCAATTCCTGGCTTGAGATATTCCTGTCTGGGTCACTTTTCTGAAACTCAGTTTCCTCACTTGTAAATCAGGAGTAATAATACAAACATTATGTGTATCAAAGGATTGTAATGAGGAAAGTGATGTTATCCTGAAAGTTCTACAAAAAGGCTGCTTCTTAGCCTTTTTTCTATCTTGTATTTTTATCAAGCCTGTGACTCCCATCTCAAAATTATGTTTTTAAATGCATAAAATACACCATACAGAGTTACTAAGGAAACCAATTATATTGAAATACAATTATCAACATTTTTAAAAGTGATAAAATTATAATTATTAATTTTATTTTAATTTTAAAAGTTCACTGATCCCAGGTTAAGTACTCCAGTTACACATTATATAAATGAGTTACTAAAAATAAGTTCCCTGAGTCCATTTTGCTTTTATGAATCAGCAAAGTAAGTCTACTACTAAAATGGTTTTTGTGTAGTTTTCCTCACAGTAACTCTGGGAGGTAGTATTAGCACTAGTAATAATAATAATCATAACAATAATCATCATCAAAAATAATAATTCATCAAAAAAGATGAGAAAGATCATTGTAACAGTTGACTTTTATGTAGTATTGTTGTTCAGTTGTTTCAGCTGTGTCCAACTGTTCGTGACCCCATTTGGGGTTTTCTTGGCAAAGATAATGGAGTGGTTTGCCATTTCCTTCTCCAGCTCAAGATGAGGAAATTGAGCAAACAGGGTAAAGTGACTTGCCCAGGGTCACACAGCTCCTAAGTATCTGAGGCCAGATTGAACTCAGGTCTTTCTGACTCCAGACCCAACCTTCTATCCACTGAGCCACCTGGCTACCCCTTTATGTAGTACTTTAAGGTTTATAAAACACTTTCTCTAAAAGAAATTTGATAGTGCAAGAATTGTCACCATTTTAAAGATGATGAAGCCTGAGGCACAGAAGGTTAAATAACCTTCCCTCCAGTCACACAGCTAGTAGTATTTTTGTCTTAATCTATGTAATGCCTCAATAGCCTTTTACCTTTGGACTTGAGCAGTTAGAAGTTGCCCAATTAGACTAGAAGGTATTCTGATAACACTGTTCCCTGTGCTTAAGGTAACCAAACAAATTTGCTTGTGTTCTTTTACCTCACTCTCTGTCCCCGTCTTCATGTTAGCCCCTGTAGGTGCGTATTTTGCTTTGGTATTCTAGGTCAGTGAAGTAGTCTGCTTATAACTTGCTGGTAATAATGTAGTTATAAGAGTATCATTCCTTTGTAGGGAGCTGGGAGGATGGGGCTTGGGGAGTGCTGTGAAGTGTGATGGGCAGCTGAGTGCCTTTTACAGCCCAGGGCTGTAATTGGCTCAGAGAAAATACATCTCTGAGGCTAATATTAGTTGTCTTTCTTCAATTCCCCGTATAAATATGTTTGGAAATATTACATTGATGATTGGAAGCTGTCAGGGTAGCATACACAATAATGTGTTTAAAGGATATTAGCTATCTTTTCCAAATACTGAGAAGCCATTCTGATGAACCTGTTCAATAATAACTTTGAAAACAATATATTTCTAAGCACGTATTTATTTATCAGTAGCCAAGTAATTAAAATGCCAATCTTCTCTAGTTTCAGAAATCTCAGCCTCTTTAAAAACTCCTCAAGATCTGCACTATTATTATTCAGGTAAGGAGAGTCTTTGTAAAATAGCTAAATTTATTATAGTGCTTTAAGGTTTGCAGAGTACTTTATATATGTTTTCTCATTGGATCCTTACAGCAACTTTATAAGGTAGGCACAATTATATTACCCCTATCTTGTAGACAACAAAACAGAAGTTGAGAAAGGTCAGGTGATGTGTCCAGGATCATACAGATAGCTTGAAGTAGGATTTGAATTCTTCTGACTCGAGTCAAGTTTTGTATCCACTGTGATGCCTAGCTACATATGTCATGTGAGCTAAAACTTTGTGGTTTTGCACCTGAAACTTACCCATTGGTGATTTCCGTTTGACTAGTACAGTTCTCATATTCTATTTGTGTTCATTCAAATGAAAGGGCTTTTTCTTTGCTGCAGAATAAGACATTTTTATCCAGTTTTCTTTAGGTTTTGGCTACTTCTACAAATATATTTGTCCAAACGATGAAAAAGAAAGATGATTTTGAAATTTAATCCATTGCATAACCAAAGACAACCAACCGAAGAACTAATGGCATGATGTCATCATCACTGGGGGTATTCAGAAGAACATTAATTTTAGTTTCTTAAGAAGTGACTGTTATGCACCTAGTAGGAACTCCATGATGTGTAGAGTAACAGCTTGGAGAATGGGCTGAACAAGGATGTCTGTTGCCATCTGCAAAAGGAGCTGAGGTTCCTGGAGCTGAATGAAGCTCCTGGCTAGTATTTCATTGGGCAGCTGAAAAGGGTAGTCCTGACAGCTAAGACATCAGTGAGGAATGCTGCCCAATACTGCCCAACTAAGTGCTTTTTGCCCATTGATTCTGTTCTTTCTATCTTTCTATTGTTATCTCTGGTGGCTTTGATCCGTGCATTTATATTTACATTGGTAAACTTCTTCCTCTTACCAAGGAACTCACTGAATTTATCATGACAGATGGATTCACCTCTAAGGCAGGCCCTGTACCCAACCTTGACCTTTCATAGTGCCTTCTTCCCACTCTTTGTCACTAAATCCTGAATGATCTGGCAGTAAGATCAATTTAATTAACATCAATTCCCTTTAATTCTCTTAATATCTGTTCAACAAAAACTTTAAAAGGGTCTACTAAATGCAAACTACTGTGCTGAATGCTGGGCATGTAAAGATAGCCGCGCCATAAATCTTGCTCTTAGTAATATAACTCACATTTACACAGTGTTTTAAGATTTGCAAAGCACCTTCCTCACAAGAACCCTGTGAGATAGACAATGGGATAGTGACTTGGACTGGATCCATGTTTTCATTGAACTTCCAGATAAGGAAGTTCCCTCTTATAGTGTAGGTAGATACCTTTTTCTCAATGTATGGTCTTAAAGAGTTGCCTGGAACACTGAGAAATTAAATGAAAAGTTAAGTGAGAGGTTAAGTTGCCCAGAGTCACATCGTATGTATCAGAAGTGGGATTTGAACTCAGATCTTCCTGGCTCTGAGACCAGCTTCCTGTTATGTGGCAATGCCTCTCCATAACATAGGTAGTAAAATATTATTACCCCCATTTTTGTAGTTGGAAGAAACTAAGGCTCAGAGATGCTAAGAGATTTGCCAGCAGTTGAGCAATTAGTAAGTATTAGGGCCAAGATTCAAACCCATGCTTTCTGATTGTATCTCTGGCACTACAGCAATGACTCCTGCTGTCTCTAGGGGCTCTCAGTAAACACAATGATACATGGCAGGGTAAGTTAAATACTTAAGAGAGGGAAAGGTAACTTTCTCTTGGAGGGGTCACCCAGAGAAAGCTTCATGGAGGAAGTGGCACCTAAGCCAGCCTTGAAGGAAGGAAGGGACTTCAGTAGGAGGACATTGGTTCAGGGAATTTATTCTAGAGATGGAGAAAAGAGTGAACAAAAGTATGAAGATGGGAGAGGGAAGTTTGAGAACAGAAGATGAAGACTAGTTCAGTTTGGCTGGCAGGACAGTGATATTCTCACAGAAAAGTTAGAGGAGAAAAAAGGATTTAGAGATTTGATGATGATTTGAATTTTAAACATGATGAGCTTGAGGAACTGGTGGGGACATTGAAGTGGAAATATTTAGCTGGCCCTGTAGCAGCAGCTGTCAAGATTACAGACAGTGGGCTGCAACAACAGCTGGGCTGGACCTCGGGGAACAGTGTATTTCTCCGGGGGCAGTCTTCTACTCTGTAGAAGGGAATTGATTGGCCCCAGAAACAGCTGTGAACACCCACTCTATCTCTTAACAGTGGGCTCTGGCCTCTCAAGAAATCCACTGGACATCCTGGCTCAAGTGGAATTGTTTTCAGAAACCCATCCACAGAAGTGCAGGCAAACTAGACTACAGTGGCTTTTTTGGTCTTGTGGCAAATAAGATTGGGTTAACTGTTGTCTGAACTCTAAAAGCATGTGGATTGCTCAATGTTTGACTAGTCCAAGGCATTCCTGCATGTTTTCTAAGTCATATTTATTTAACACAAATTAAACCCACCAGACCCACCATATGTAGGATAAATAAGTATCTCAATGGGACTATAAATCTTCTCAGAGGAGAACCATTAGCATTGGGTGAAGTTGCAAAGATACAAATTTAGGTTCAATGCAGGGAAAAATTTCTTAATAATTAAAGCTGTCCCAGAGTGGAATAGGCTACTTACTGAGGTCATGGGTCTCCCTCTTCCAAAGGTTGGATATATTGTAGTGGGAATATATCTATATCTAATCTATATCTATCTTTTTTTTTTCAGGATTGGGATATAGTATAGATTGGAGTAGATGGCTATTGCAGACCTTTTCAATTCAAACATTCAGTGAACCCACAAGTCCAGGGTCTAGACTTATGCCAGAATCTACTTACATTCATAGCTTAGCATGTAGAAAGCTTATTTGATTCTCTTAGGGATGCATTGGCTTAGATAGAAATGACTCAGACCTTACTCTACTCTCTACCAGCAGTGTATCTAGAATAATCTAGGTTCTACTATCCTTCTTCCATATTGGTACTTAATATTCTCTTATATTACCTTGACTCTCTCCCTCCTTTGTTTGACTCAATCAATCAATCAATCAACAAATATTTAAGTGTCTACTATGTGTCAGGCACTGTACTAGGTACTGGTGATACAAATGCAATGAATGAAACTATCTATTTGAAAGGAGTATATGTACATGCTAATGGAGGAAACAAGCACAGGATAAATATAGAGAGAATAAATACAAAGGGAGTTAAATCCCAGGTTGTTTGAGAAGGGAAGGGACTAGGAATTGAGGAGATAAGGAAGGTCTCATGTAGAAGGTGGTAGGTTAGCCATGTCTTAAAGGAAGAGGGGGATTCTGTGAAGTAGAAGTGAAGAGGGAGTACAATCCAGGGACCACCAGTTCAAAGGCACAAAGATAGGAGATGGAATGTTATATGTGAGGAACAGAGAAAAGGCCAGCTCATTTAGATCAAAGAATGTGGGAAGGGAAGTCATGTCCACTACTAAGCAGATTGTCACTAGTTGTCCATGCCCATTGGAGACTGAAGAGCATCTTCTACGCAGCACCAACAATTTTGTGAGATCTTTTATACTGGACAAAGATGAAAGAGTTGTGGAGGTATTCCTTGCCCATGGCTAAACCTGGTTCTTATCTTAACCAGCTAGGTAATTTGACTGACCAGGCCTGGTGTTCAATTCAATTAAGCTTTTTTAAATCACCTACTATGTATGTGTAAAGGAAAGAGGAAGCATGGCATAGTGGATAGAGGGCTGGCCTTGGAGCCACGAAGAGCAGGGAGATCTGGCTATGATTGTGACTGAAAGGGGGAAAGGGCAGCTCTGTCAGCTCATTGATAAGTTGTGTCATTTTAACCTCTGATCTTAATCAGTTTATCTTCCTTGGTTGACCTGTGACTTCACTCTTAGGCCTGGAGTGAGCCTGAATACTTTAGCTTAAGTTTTTCTCTGACTCCCTTAAATAGTCTCTCTGTTGGTGATGCTCCTAGAAACACCAAGAATTTTGACAGCTGGATCCTTACTAGTTAATCTTGCATTTCTACACTGTTGATGCCATTGTCAAGGCACTACCCCTGTCAAATACATCCCTAGTTACTCAGGATCTTCCTCTGGGCCAACCCAGATGGGTCCTGTCACTCATGAGTTATATAATGATTCTATCTTAGTTAGCCTTGCTATGCCTCAGTTGTTTCAGGTTCAAAATGCACATAATTGTACTTCACTTTCCCAAGTGATAGTCTACTTAGGGACCAAGAGGTAAGCAACTTGTTTTTGTTTTTGTTTTTATGTTTTACCGTTATTGGTCCTTTGTTTTGCATCACCTTCATTTTCCATCATTTCCTTCTTTCCCATCCAGAGACCCTTATCTTATGGATAAATAGTAAAATAATATAAAATAACATGATAAAAAGAAAGAGGAAAAAACCAATGTATCAACCCAATTTGACACTATACACAATGTTTTGCAAAGAAGGGACAGAGATACATCTGCATATCTCTTCTTTGGGGCTAAGCTTGGTCATTAGAATTAATAGTGTTTAGTTTTGATTTTGTTATTCTAGGAAAGTAGCTTATCAAAGCAGAGTGATAAAACTATACCTACATTTGGACTTTGGTATAGTATTGTCTTCAGGGGCTCATTGCCATAGAATGAGGCTCTTTTTTTTTATTCACTAAATCCCATTGGATGGTATAAGACTAAGAGGTAGACTGAGTCCTACTTTTTAAAGAATCATGGTGCTGCCAGTTCCATTTGACAGTATTTTGATGGATCTCAGGGCACTGTTCATTTATGTATTGGGTTCTTAGTTTAGACTATTAACACTGGGTACTTAAGTCTAGTAATAATCTAGCACTTGGTCTGTGGCTATAAAATTAGAAAAATTTTGCAGGGGAATACTATAGTTTGTTTTGACATTGATGGACTATAACAGTTTTTGGGACTTAACATGGAAAATGCAGATAGCCTGTCTGTAATTAAAGCTGCAGTGTGTAGTTCCCTCTGGAAAAGAAGGCGAAGTGTGCAGACTCTAACAGCAGATGTCCTCAGAGTCTACATAGTACATCAGATTTGCTTTAAAAAAAAAACTACAGGGAAACTGGAGTAGTAAGTAACACCATTGATTGAAATAGGTGCTAACAATATGCCATGTATGCATTGGATTTATTGTTTGTGTGGAGCGGAAACATCATACCTGCTTTAGATCTTGTTATATAATTTCTTGCAATCTGTTCTTAATTCTGTGACATCCTTTTGGGTGAAGATATTTGTTCTTATAATAATTGTACTGATTTTAGATAGAGATAAAATATAACATTAACATTATTTGAATAAATATTGGTTTGGAGAAAGCTTTCTATTAAACTGACCTGATGATGCATACTAAATAAAGTAAAATTTTCTCTTTCTTTCTTTTCTTTCTTGGCAGCTGTTGAAAGGAACAATTTAATGAGGCTTTCTCAAACCATACCATTTACCCCGATACAACTGTTAGGTAAGTTGCAAATCTATCATCATTTTCTGATGTGTGAACTCAACGTAGTAATGGACCAAACCTAGCAAGAAGCCATTTTGGACTCATTTCACTGTGAATTGTGTTACCATTTAATCAGATGGATAGCTTAATAACAAAAACCCCAAAAGAAACAAATAAACAAAAACTCTTGTTAACTTGTCCGGCTAGGCATCTCTGGTCTAGCTCTAAGAGCCTGTGGCTATGGCTTGTAGTGAGTAAGTAGCGGTTGGGATGGGATGCCACAATTCTGCACCTGGCACTCCATGATTCAAGGCTGGAAGTAAGTCGGAAAGAAAAGAACAAACCAACCATGCTTAATGAACACAGAGAAAAGTGATCAATGTCAACATGGTGAAAGCCATCAGAACTGTGAGAGAAATGCTGGGTGTATTTTTTTTTTATTTGTTTGTTTTCTTTCATGCCCACTAATTGCTCTTAGTGCAGAAAGGAAATGTTGGTTTTAAAGGCTGGTATACAAGAGGAAAACAAACCCTCATTAGCTAAGTCTACTGAGGCTTTGCTAGTAGAAAGGATGAAGAGATTAACAAGGTAGGAAGGGTTGCTACTTGGATATTCCTCTGGATTCAAGATTTTATAAATTTGGGCACTCCCTTCAATCGTGTAGATCAAATCATCCGTGCCTTATCCTTTTGTATAATTCTTGTTCATATCCTCCATTAAGGGCCAACCATACTAATGGGAGGCCTTCATCTGGTTCTTTGAATATTTCAAGCTGTAACACTTGGGCTCTCCATTATGCCTCACACAAGCTGCCTTCCTCTTTCTATTGCCATACACATCCTGGAAGATGTCTTTTACTCCGTTGGTTTTGCATAAGACACCATTAGGAATATACTGTAGACTATTTGCACCCACTGTCCTCAGACTTCATTAATCCTGTCAGTAAAATTCACACTGTTTGCATGGAGCTAAACTCTCACTGTTATCCTTTAATAGCTAGCATACACATGCTCTCCTTTTGGCCCTAAAACAGCGTTTGCTAATAAGTGATATCGCCTTAACTTCTCTAGGCATCTGATCTCCAGTGACCTGTGGAGGTAGCCTTCTAAGTGCTAAGATTATTTATCATTAAATATTGATTGAACATGGTATACTTATATTTGTATGGTTTAAGGGATCTTAATTTTTTCAGTATGTATATTCTCAGTTGATGAAAATCTCAACCCATTTCAACCTTGAGGAAACAGCTTTTCTGAAATACTATGGCTGAGAATATTTAGCACCTGGTAGCCAGCTTTTTGCTTATGATCCAGGATAACTTTGTTAAATGGTCTTCTTATTAGTGTCAACCAAGGCATAAAACATGGAGACATATGTTCCAGTTCACATGAACAGTGTGAATTAATAACAGCATTTCAAAGAGTGGAGACTGAATCTGTATAAAGACTCATGACCACGGTACATTTACCCTTGTCTCCTTACTTCTAACCAGGGCTGAACACGATTTAAGGGTCAGCTTCCATTAAGAGATCTCTTATAGAATTTGTTTGGGCCAGCCTTCATACAAGCCTGTTTTTTCCTGCTTATTTATTTTATTTAGAAATATGTTTTAATTGATACTTTAAAAATTACTTTCATTTCCCCCTTTATTCTTCCTTCTCCCCCTTTCTTCCCAGACAGCCATCTCTTGTAACAAAAAATGGGAAGAAAAGAAGAGAAAAAAGTTCAGCAAAACTAACCAACATAAAAAAAAATCACATGTCATATATAGTGTTTTAGACTTGTGGACCACCTGCTCTGCAGAGGAGCAAGTGGACATGTCTTTTCCTATCTCTTTTTTGGGGCAAAGTTTCGTCGTTATAATTTCTCAACATTCAGTAGTGACTTTTGTTGTGATTCTTTCTATTTACATTGTTATAGTCATTACATTTATTGTTTCTTGAGCTCTGCTTGCTTCAATTCACATCTATTTGTATAAGTTTCCTATTTTTCTCAGTATTCTTTATCATTTCTTATAGCAGTGGTGTCAAATTCAAATAGAAATAGGGTCATACATAAGGATCCCTGAGGACTGCTTATTGACTTAGAAAACCACATATTAACATTATCTGTGTTTTATTTTATTTTAATTTAGTTAGTGAAATATTTCCCAGTTGCATTTTAATCTAATTCTGGGTTGTACTTGGCAGTGTTGTGGCCTGTGGGCTATGTGTTTGACACCCCTGTTTTACAGCACCATAATATTTCATTACATTAAAAGGCTTCTGTTTAATTAGTTATTCCCCAGTTGATGGGCCTTTAACAATCAAGAGGGAAATTGAAAGAAGTACTGATATTTTTAAGGTAGAATTTTCCAGGTGGAAAGTGTTGCACATAGTTCTGAGTATCTACACTGCATCTATCTGGTTCTTTTTTTTTTCTTTTTAAATTTAATTTTATTTCTTCAGTTCATAAAAATCTCTTTGATACCTCCTCCCCTTGCCATTGAAAAGAATGAAAAACCAAAATTCTGATAACAAATATGCATGACCAAACAAAACAAATTCCTGCATTGGCCATATCCAAAAATGATGTCTTAGTCTGTATTCTGAGTCTATCACCTTTCTGTTGGGGGTGGTCATCTAGGGGAACGTGCATCATCTTTGGTCCTCCAAAATTGTAGTCAGTCATTATGCTGATCAGAATTCTTAGCTCTTTCAGAGTGGCTTGTCTTTACAATATTGTTGTTATAGAAATTATTGTCCCAGTTCTGCTTACTTCATTCTATATCAGTCCAAAGAAGTCTTCTCAGGTTTCTCTGAAACTGTCTCTTTCATCATTTTTTACATCACAGTATTCATATCAGCTTCTTTTTCCAGTGAGTTTTTTAAAAGTCTGTTAAGTAAAAGAAGCATAGTGGCTAGAGAACTAACCTTAGAGCCAGAAAGACCTGGGTTAGAATAATTTCTTTCTCTGATACATATTGTGTTACCCTGGGCAAGTCACTTAACCTTCGAGTATTCTTAGGCAGCTCTCTAAGACCATGAGTTTCAGAGAAGGTGATGACATGTGCTGTCTTTTTCTCATTTGGGAGTTCCCTGTACCAATGAAATCACAGATCTAGTCCCTTTCGTCTATTAAGTGATCATCACTGCTTTAAGATAAAAACAAGCACACACCAAAATAGTTTTAAAATTTTCAGTTAAACACCAGCACCACCTAGGCAAATATGACATGCTTTACTGGCTCATGATAATTGATTTTAAAGGGAACCATTGGAGTCCAGAGTTGAAAATGAAGAGACAGAAGTTTTTCCAGTATGATTAGAAAGAAAGATGAGCTGGTCGCATGTTAAGAAGCAGCTAGATGGCATGGTATATAGAACTCTATGCTTGGAGTCAGGGAGACCTGAGTTTAATTCTGCTTCAGGCTCTAGCTGTGTGACCCTGGGCAAGTCACTTAACCTCTATTTGCTTTAGTTTTCTTATCTGTAAAATGGGGATAATAATAGCACCTCCCCAGGTGGTTGTGAGGATCAAATGAGATAATATTTGTGAAGCACTTTGTAAACCATAAAGCATTCTAAACTTTAGTTTCCTACTACTACTACTACTACTACTACTACTACTACTACTACTACTACCACTACCACCACTACTACATGATGATGATGAGGAGGAGGAGGAAGAATAACTGAATAACTGGTAGTCAACCCTCGTGCTCCATTGTTATCCATAAACTATCCTGAGAAAGCTCCCAGAACATTGAATGATACCTCATGGTGGCAAATTTATAATGGAAAATAGACAATAGGCAAGCATGAATGGAAGGTGTATTATTGGAAGTGATACTCACATTGATGAGATCAGAGCTCCATTGGCATATTGGAGACCTGGAAAGCTCCATTTTTCCTAGGCTTGTTCTTGGCTGACAGAGTGAGTGTACTACAGGGGGAAGCTGCATTAGCTCTGGATTCTGAGGACCTGGGTTCAAATCCTTCCTTTGGTGCTTACTACCCATGTGACATTGGAAAAGTCCTTGTGCCTCATTTTCCTTATCTGTAAAATAAGTAGGTTTAACTAGATGGCTTCTAAAGAGATCCTTTCTAGCTTTAGACCTCTGGTCCCATCACCCCATGATAATCAATTTCTTGTTTAGCCAGTACTCCAAGGCTTTCTGACTTGGTTGAATGGACCAGGGCTTACATTCTTCTGGTAGAATCTTCAGGAACCCAGGGTCACTTCCATGAACTGCAGGACATTTGAAGAGGATGTGAAAGGAAGAACAGTTCTTTATACAAATATGGGCAGTATAGGTTGCATTCCCTTTAAAGTGAAGGAGTAGGGAATAGAATTATAAGATGGAATACCAGTCTAACAGATATCACTCATGCCATTTCTTATTTCTTTTAGGAGACAGTCAGTTCTAACAATGGATTGTCCCAAACCAATTAGATTTTCTCCATATCCAGTTAAATGAGTTAATTTGCTTTGTAATCTGGGATTAGAATAATTGAAACTGTTTTTTTTTTGGCTAGGCAATGGGGTTAAGTGACTTGCCCAGGGTCACACAGCTAGTAAGTGTTATGTGTATGAGTCCACATTTGAACTCAGGTCCTCCCGACTCTAAGGCCTGTACTCTATCCCCTGTGCCACCTAGTTGCCCCAAAACTTTTTTTGCCAGTTAAACAGAGGAAGTTCAAGATTCTGATTTCAAAGCTAAAAATGAGAATAAAAATGTTTTCAGCACCTTTAGCAACATATTATAAAGACTCACTGTCATTATAAATCATTCAGGAATGCTTAGTTTCCAAGTTCTTTTTTTTTTTGGTCATCTTAGACTTTACTTCTGACTAATTTTTGTGTGAAAATATCACTGTGTCCTGTTATCACATGCAATTTTTCTCGATGAAAGGGTAACAAAAATGGTGTCAAATACACTGTTTCTTAATGTTTTGATTCTTTCTAAGTGTGTAATATGAATATATCTATTGTACCATGCTGTTTTATCAGTGTTGATAGGACCAACACTTGAACTGTTTTTCTAGTTGGAGTGATATATTACTCTGAGCTCAGGTCCCTAATGATCTTTGTATCTTCTGTAGAGACAACTGGCTGGCTGCAGTCAGGATTGTGGTTGTTGCCTGTGGAAGTTGTTTTCTGTAAAGGTTTTTTTTAAATTAAAAAAAATTTCAGTTAACAAGCATTTATTTTCTCTCCCTCTCATCTCCTCCCACCCCCTTAAGAAAGAAAGTAGAAATAAGACCTTTGTAACGAATATGTACAGTCAAGTAGAACTAATTCCCATATTGGCCATGTCCAAACATGTATGTCTCATTCTGTATATTGAGTCCACCTCTTCTCCATCAGGAGATGGGTGATATAGTTCATCGTTGGTCCTCTAGAATTGTTTGATCTCTGTAAAGTCCTGAACCCTTAACTTTGGCCTTATAAGTATTGTATTCTAACCAAATGATCGTAGGTTATCTTAGAAGGGTTTCTTTTTTCATTGTGAAAGAGATGAATCTATTTTTACTTTAATTTTTTTTACTTTTTGCCTTGCCATACTATAGATAAGACATTTGACTTTGGAAAACAGTCCTATCCTTTATCCACTGGTGCCTTTGTTCATTTTTTTGTTTGTTTGTTTCTTTGTTTTTACTGAAGACTCTTGAATGAGAAATGGGAAGACCTAGGACCTTTTCTAAGGATTATGTTAAGTTAGTTAAGTTGACCTGTTAAGTTAGAATTATTTTGGGATAGATTTGATATCCAGCATTCTTTTACTACCATTGGGTTGATTGAGTGTCCTTATAGTAACACTGGACAAATTCCTTGATGTTTCCTTCCACACTTCTCCCCTCCTCCTTCCCTGTCACCCCTTTCTTTAGCTGGAGAAGAAGTGACCATCTACAAACTAGAGGAGAGTTCTCCTTTGAACCTTGACAAAAGCATGTCCTCCTGGTCCCAGTGTGGAACAACTGCAATGATCCAGGTCTTATCCCAGGAGGAGATGGATGGAGGGCTCCGGAAAGCCATGAAAGTAATCAGTACATGGTCTGAAGATGATGTGATCAAGCCAGGGCAGGTCTTTATTGTCAAGTCCTTTCTTCCTGAGGTGATACAGACCTGGCACAAGATTTTTGGAGAAAACACTGTACTGCATCTCTGCCTCAGGGTAAGTCTGGGTTCTGAGAGGAGGTATGATATAGTGAGTGGAAAGAGCCCTGGCTTTGGAATCTGCTGACTTGCGTTCAAACCCTGCCATTACCACTTACTACCTGAATGATCTTGGACAAATTACCTAATCTCTCTTGCCTCAGTTTCCTCATTCTATAAAATGACAGAGTTGAACTAGATGGTCTCTAAGGCCCTTTCCAAGTCTAATTCTGTGATCTTATATTGGATATGCACAGGTTGGGGCTAGAGTGGTAGACCTTTCCCAACCTAGTGCTACCATTTCCAATTAAAAGGGTGGCCTGTTTGAATTTCTTTGTTTTTGAAGTTAAAAAACAAAACCAAACCCTGAGGTTGGTTGAAAGTAAACATTGAAGGGAAACCCTCTGAACAAATACATTATAGTTGATATTTAACAAACATCAACTTAGTGTTCTCATGAATATATTTAAAATTGATTCTTGTTTAGCAGGAGGATATTTCTTTTTAGGATTCCTACTAAACCAATCTTGATAAATTTATCCTGGTTTTTTTTTTTTGGTTTTGTTTTTTAGGAGATCCAACAACAAAGAGCTGCTCAAAAGCTGATCTATACCTTCAACCAAATGAAACCACATACTATTCCTTATACACCAAGGTAAGAAAACCTTTTCATCTCTGCAGTTAAATCTGTCAGACCAAACAGGATCTCCTCTGTCTTGTGCCTCTTTTATACAACCTAACAGCATTTCTCAACAGAAATACTTAAGTTTCTGGGTAAATGTGCCACCAGACCAAGTTTTCAATTTTGTTCCTAGTTTAGATAGAATATGTATTTCTCCCCAGTATGAGGAGCATAGCATAAGGGAAACCCCATCTGGAGTCACAGTTCAAATCTTGACTCTGATTCTTCTCCCTCTGTGGTACTGGTCAACCATTCTGGGCCTCAGTTCCCTCATCCAAAAACATGAGGAGGTTGTCGTAGATGACTTCAGAGGTCACTTTCAGCTCTATCCTTATGACCTCCAACAATAAACAGATGTTGTTAGTGTAGTCTGGTATTGCCATTCAGATGCTGCCCATAATCTACCACCACTGACGTTATGAAAGTAGGGGATTGTGGGACTGTGTCTGAGCTGGAGGTTGTAGTGGTAATGTGCCTTAATTTATTATACTTTTTACAGAGGTTGCTTTTCTCGAGCTAGGTGAAGAAGAGAAGCTGTGCAGGGAAGGGATCCTGGCTCGTATTGGATATCTGGCTCACGAGTATCAATATTATCCAGATAAAACCATGAAAGAAAAGTTATTTGGCTTTAAGAACAACTTACCCATTACCACACAAAGGGAGGGAGCACTGTAAGATCACAACACTTTTATTATTTCATTTGAGTGTTCCTACACATCTGTATTCATTTAAAAAGACGGATTGTAATTTGGTACTGAAGACTTAACTGTAAAGTTTTATTACTATTTTTACACGGAACTTTCAGAGCACGACAAGTAATGTTGGGCGTAGTACTTATAAAGAACAGGAGGGTTCTTCAAAATGAAAAGGGGGCTATGCTTCAGAAAATACCCCTACTCTCATTCTTAGCCCTTCTGGATACAACAGCTATCTTGTTTGGGTTACGTTCTACTGTCTTAACAGTCTTGCCTATGTTATGCCAGGGATGGGGGGGAATCCCACTTTTTGCCTTCTGTTGCCCTGTGACAGTCAGTATCCTTCCCCTCCTTCACAGGTTCCTGGAGGTCTTTTTAATATATTGCCATTCAGCCAAACAGTGGTTGACCATAGAGAAGTACATGACTGGTGAGTTTCGCAAGTACAACAACAACAATGGGGATGAAATCTCTCCCAGCAACATCTTGGAGGAGCTGCTGTTGTCTTTTTCCCACTGGACTTACGAATATACCCGAGGAGAGCTGCTTGTTCTGGATTTGCAAGGTGATTGGCAGTGTGGACTATAGTACATCTGAGACCTGCAGGAACGTTTCTGGAAAGCAAAGCTCTGATCTCTGTCTTCTTACAGATGTCATAAGCAATTGACGCCCCAGGTCCAGGTCGATGCCAAACAGTCCAGGCATTTTTTGTGATTATTGCCATTGTTATAGGGTTTTGATGGTAACAGCCTCTGACACTGTGTGCTTTAAAACAATCTATTTCAAAACGAATATTATCACTTATACTATGCTTCTTTCTCTGTCTCTGTCTATTCATTTATTTCGTTCAACAAGCAAGTATGTATGTATGTGTATGTATATATATGTATATACATGTAAATATATATGTATCTGTTTATGAGTATGTGAAGGGTTACATGCATGTTTTAGAAATATTTTAGTGATCCAAAGAAAAGTGATATTGACTACTTTAATTTTTTTTTTATTGAAGCCTTAGAATTTCAAGGGCTGCAAAATCACCTTAGAGATCAATTTGTCCAAATCATACTTGAAGAAGAATTCTATTTACAGCACACCTGACGAAGTCATCCAGCTTTTGCTCAGAGAACCCCCCTCCCACTTCCCCCCCAGTGTTTGGCAGCTTACCACCATGGGATCCCATTGTACTTTTTTTTTTAATTACAATTTTTTTTTTTTTGGCAATTGGGGTTAAGTGACTGGCCCCGGATCACACAGCTAGTTAAGTGTCAGGTGTTTGGTCTGAGGCCAGATTTGAACTCGGGTCCTCCTGACTTCAGGGCTGGTTCTCTACCCACTGTGCACCTAGCTGCCCCTCCCATTGTACTTTTATTTTTTTTATTTATTTATTTTTTGCTTTTAGGCAATTGAGGTTAAGTGACTTACCAGGGTCACAAAGGTAGTAAGTGTCAAGTGTTTGGTCTGAGGCCCGATTTGAACTTGGGTCCTCCTGACTTCAGGGCTGGTGCTCTATCCACTGCGCCACCTAGCTGCCTCTCCCATTGTACTTTTTAACAGCTCTAAGTGTCAACAAGTTTTTTTCTTATGTGGAGCTGAAAACTACCTCTTTGCAACCTTCCGTCATGGCTGGTACTTCTGTCCTCTAGAGCCAAGAAGAATAAGTCAAGTCCTTTTATACATGAAAGCTCTCTAGCTATTTAGAGGCAACAATTATGTCTTCCTTAACCTTCTTCTTCTCTAGGATAGTTATCCTTAGTTTCTTCAAGAACATATAGCATGGTTTTCGAAGTTCTTCACCATCTTAGTATCCCTCCTGGGGATCTGCTTTAGTATGTCACCATTCTTCTTTCCTAGTATATGGCCCCCAGAACTGAACACAGTATTCTGCACAGTAGACTATTGCCTCCATTTTAGATTCTATTATTTACCATTATTTAGCATTCTACTATATTATATTATACATTAATTAATATAATTAATAATATAATACTATATTATACTATTATTTAGATTCTATTCTATTCTACAGCTCATTATATATGCTCCGTCACTATATCACATCATAGATTTAGAACTGAAAGGACACTTAGAGGTCATCTTGTCCAAAGTCCTTATCTTACAATGAGGAAAATAAGGTTCAGAGACTTGCCTAAAGTCTCACAGGTTGTATGTGGCATAGCCGAGATATGAATCCCAAGTCCTCCAACCTCAGATCCAATACTATTTCTACTGATGCTTAACTTATTTGCATTTCCTGCATGATTTTCATCTCAAGATTTCCAACTTTATGGCCTCATCACTGTCATTTTCATAATTGGGAAAAAGTACAGTAGAAATTTAGGGGAGATATTTTCAGAATTTTGAGATTGCCAACTTTGCAGTTCATTGTTTTAACTTCTTTTGTTTACTTTTTGATTTTCTTAACTTCTTATGAAACAGAAAAATCAAATTATAACAAGATGCCCATGCGTATTAATGTAACAGGATCATCCAATCACAGTTTTAGAGTTAGAAAGGATGTTTAGAATGTAAGCTTATGAATAGGGATTGTTTCATTCTTTGTATTTGTATCACCAACATATAGCCTTGATCTTAAAAAAAAACCCTGCCAATTGCTTGATTGATTAGAGGTATTCTAGACCAGTGCTTCTTAAACTGTGGGTTGTGACCCCAGTTGGGGTTGTGAAAAATTTGGCAACAGTAAACGGTTTCTGAACATGCAAAACCAAAAAATTAATTAAAAAGCAAATGCATAATGAATCTGAGGTGTTTCTGGCAGTGTTTGCTCATGTTGCATGGAGCCTTGGTTCTGAACACAAAGCATGTGGACGAGGCACGCACTGTGCATGCTCTCAGGCCACGACAATGCCAATGAACACTGCCAAATCTGAAAAGGAGTTGAGGGTGGAAAAAGTTTGGGAAGCCCTGTTCTAGACCAACCCCTTTGGGGAAATTGAGACTCATCCGGAAAGAGAGAGGAAGGGAAATGACTTGCCCAAAGTCATATAGACACTTAAATACTTATTGATTGGAGGCTATCTAGTACAATCTCCTCATTTTACAGATGAGAGACAGAGGGACAGAGAGAGACAGAGATAGAGTAAGGAAATGACTTGCCCAGTTGGAAATAAGTAGGCAATAAATACTTGTTGATCGATTGCCTGGAGGTTAGGTAGTTCATCCCCTTCATTTGCTCCACAGTCACACAGGTAGTAAGTGGCTGGACTGAGATTTGAATCCAGGTCCTCTGACCCCAGATCCAGGATTATTCCTACTATATACCACATTGCTTCATGGAAAACTTGCTTTTATTTTGAAAGTAATGCAATTGTCTTCAGATTTTCCATATCTTCATGGGATGACCGCAGTGTGCTCTGGTGAAGCATTTCAATCGTATTGCAGTGTCTCTGGAGCTGTGTGCTCATTTGAGGCTCTCTCCAGCCTTCTGTCATCCTGGTTTCAATAGTGACTATTAGGGGCATGTTGGTCAGGGAGAGCCAGCATTAGACAGCAATTCTAACAACAATTCATTATTGACAACGTTTGAGAAGAATTAGAAAATCTTCCTACTCTGACCAGCCGCTGTGTTATTCTATCAAAGATATATAGCCCTTTACCTATAACATATGTGTGATTATATTTATTGACAGTGTTTCTGTTGATGGGAATGAAATATACCTTCCAGCCTCAAAAACATTATAAGAACCCAGGAGGTAATATAAATGAAGTTAAAACAACCAAGCTAATTCAAATTTTAAAGGAATATTTGATCTATCAAACTCCCCAAAACTAATGCCCAAAGACATCTGTTGTGCAGCTCAAGTTTGGGAGGTTAATGATTTTCATCTGTATTTGAATGCTTGTACTTTATGTTTGGGGTGGAATTGTCCAGAACAAACAAACCAAGAAAAAAAAAAGAAGAAAGAAAGAAAATAAAACAAACAACCACCAAGAAGCAAAACAGAACAAAACTTTAAGGAATTAATGATGACTCTTCAGTGTATTTTGAATTCCACTTGAATAGGTCTTTGTTTAATACTGTTTCTGTTTGGGGATTCCATGTCTCTTAGCAATCCAAAGCAATTAAAGACGACAAATGCTGTAATTATGGTATTAAGAAAATAGAAAACTAACTTCAAGAAAGTTTTTCTTTTACTGGACAATTATGTCAATTGTAGAAATAGGCCACCTCAAGATTTAAAAAAAACCCCAAAACTATGTCACCCCAAATGAATTATGTCAAATATTGACTTTCAATGTAATAGTTAAACATCAACATCAGAGTTGAACATGAAGAAGCAGAGATACACATCAAAAATTTTTGGCTTGCTGGTAAGGCATGAATATGTAGAGTGATGTGTATATCTTCCAAACTAGATAGGAAGGGGAAATTGAGGAAATATTACTTATTTTCAAATCTATAAAAGTGATTAAGATGTTCTTGGTGCAGTATTTGTTCTGCTTGTATGGAAACTAGCTCTAAGGGTGAGAGTGCTGGTGAAGGAAGTCAATAAGCATTTATTAAGGACCTACTGTGTGCTAAATCACAGTAAGTCTTTATGTTGCTGGAGCTTGGCCCTGAAGGTAAAGGAAGACTTGCTAGAGCTTACTGTCTCAAGTTGCACCTGTGCTCCCAGAGAATCACATCCCCTGGTGAGGCACTAGGCTTTCCTACCTGCCTTTGTGGGGCCTGCCCGTTTGCTAAGGGAGTGGGAAGGGTGGGATGAGTGGGAAAGGAGAAGGAAAGAAGGAGGAATGAAAGAAGAGTTTCATCTTCTGACTTCTTGTACAAGCAGCAGCGCCAGTCAGATATTGTACAATCATGCCCAGCTGTGGAAAGCTGGAATCCATGAGGACTAGCTTAGCAAAGTTAATGATCTGTTGCCTTGACTCCATCCTGATGGAAATATCCTGCAGTTTCCAGCCTTTTTGCATTTAAAAATCAAATAAATGAGGGCCTGAATCATTCCTATTACACTTGTGATCCAACATCAGAAGCTTAGCATGCTCCGAAATGGGAATTAAAACAATTGCATTTCAAATAACACTAGTACTTAGCATTTATATAACTCATTTTATTTTCAAAGTACTTTGTGGTTATTAATTTGTTCTTTCACACAATACTCTTCAGAATAGGTCAGTGGAGTTTTTTTTTTCCTTTTTTCCTTTTAACCCAGACAGATTTATCCAAAGACTTTCTGTGGTAATCAGGATTGGAATTCATGACTCAGTTTCCCTCTGGAACGTACTTCATGTTGTTCACTCTCCTATGGGATTATAGATTTAGATCTGGAAGGAACCTTGGAAGTCATCAAGTACAACCCCCTCAGTTTTACATATGAAGAAACTGAGCCCCAGAGCAGTCAAGTGACTTGCCTACAGGCCTTCCTGCTTCCAAACTCAGCACTTTATTCATTATGCCAACACTGCTTCTCAGTTAGTTAACAAAGGTATCTTGGCTATGTGATAGGTCCTATGCCTGTTCTGTAGATGCACAGAAAAAGAAATAAATGTTATAGTCCTTGCCCTCAAGGAGGCTGCATTCTATCAGTGAGATTTATAATTTACTTGTACAGTTATGAGTAGTTTTTAATAGCAACGCGTTTTCTCCATCCCATGCAAATGTTTATATGCAGAGTTCTGTAGGCAAAAGAGTTCTGCACGGGAAAGAAGAGCCTGACTCTGTTACATCTCCTTTCTGACCTTGGGAAGTTACTTAGCTTTGCTGGGCCTTGAGTTTCTCATTGATAAAATGAAGGAGTTGGAAGAGGATGCAGCTGAGGGTCCATCCAGCTTTATCTAAGTCATCCTGCTTTCTACTGAACAACTCTGAGCCTCGGTTTCCTTATATGTAACAGGAGAGGGAGGAACGGATTGGACTACATGACCCCTAAGGAACATTCTAGCTTTAGATCTATGATAAAGGCAGAATTCAGTATGCTGAAATAAAGGTCACCTATTTGGTGACCCCTTTGTCTCTGCTGTGTTGGACCACACCAATGGTCCAACTGACAGTAGCTTAATGTTGGTTACTCAACTGTAAGCCATCTTAGAATTTGTTGGCTAGAATATATTCCCAGCTTGTTGATCTATTTTCTCCTATATTTAGGATGTAATTTCTATTTATTTGCATAAATATCATTAAATGTAGTATTGTGGGAAAATGTACTGGATTTGGAGTTGGGAGACCTGAGTTGAATTCTGGCTCCAACCACTGGTGCCCTAGTAACTTAACTTCTCTTCCTCACACTTTCCTCATCTTTAAAATGAGAGTATTGGACTAGAGAATATATTGTGTTCTTTTCTTCTCTAATTGAAATGACAGTCTCTGATTTACCCACTGCCAGACTTAGTTCAGAGGATCAGAAAGAAACCGAGATCCAGGGAAGTCAGGTTGCCCAAGGTCACATGGTTAGTAAGTTTCTGACTATGGTGGGATTTGAGCCCAGTGGGTCACTGTCACTTGAGATAAGTTTAACCTGCTTAGTATCAACCTCTGAGAAGCTGGAGTGACCCTTTGCGGTGTTTGGCTACAATTGGAAGGAATTGCAATTAGGTGGCACTTTTTTCACCAAGTTGCACTGTCTTTCAATTTGGAACTTTCCCAATAATAATAATAATGATAATAGTAATTATTATTATTAATAAAAGTTATCATTTATAGAGTACTGTAAGGTTTGCAAAGCACTTTGCATATGTCATCTCACGAGCCAAAGTAAATTTTGCAGGCTATAAGAAAATAATCTCTTTTTAATGAGCCATATAACTGTGACAGAATACAGATAAAAGGATGAGGAGTGAGATTTTAAACAAGCAATAACCTGCTTTTAATATGCCTTTAATTTCCTAAACATGATCTCACTCGGTTGCGTACTTCCCATCTAGACTGACAACTGATTCACAAGTCACACTGAAGTATCTGACCTTGCGTTTCTGGGATCCCAAAGGTACCAGAAGCTGGAGGCTTTCAGCACCTAGGATAGTAATGTAGGCAGCACATAGTAAGTGCTTAATAAATGCTGTCTGGATTAGATTGGGTTCCTTAGGTATAAACTTGAGCAAGATACATTCGACAGCCTCAAATGTCCATAATCATGGTACTTGCACCCCACCTATCAGAGTATTTTGTTATTTATACTTCAGAAGTCCAGAGTTCTCTTAAACTTTTCTCCTTCTACTCTCAGAACTAAAAATAAAAGGGCATAGCATTGAGGCTGTCCAGCCTGTTCCAGTTCTTCCTATGTGACCTTAGGCAAGTCAGTCAGTTTCTCTGGGTCTTTTTTGCCCAATCAAGAAGACTGAGCTAGAGAGAGAAACTTAGACTTCCCTGCCTTCCCTGAATATATAGCTATACCATACCTCAAGGCTCGTCTTCCTGATCCCCGTTCCCACCTTTACAAATCAATATGCAAAATGAGGCATCAGCTGTGCTTAGCCATTTAACTGTCTAAGGTAGACTGTTCCTTTAAATACAGATTCCCACAAAGGTATCTGTTTTGTTTTTTTTTAAGTATCTTAGTATACTTTTAAATACAAAATATAGCAAAAATATTTTTTTAAAGGTAGACAACAGTGTTGGTTTCTTTATAAAGTAGACAAACCTAGCTTTATGTGAAAAAAAATCCATTATTATTTTTCACTTGCTTTTCTTGCAAAATTGGTCACTTTAGGGAAAGGAAAGGCACCTACCATACATAAAATATTACCAGAGCTCTAAGAATTGAGCCAGAAATTGTATAATTACTCTGCAGAATAAAGCCTTCTCAGTATCAGACTCTTAAGTAGCACAGTAGAAAGCGCATTGCCTCTCAAGTCAGAGGACCTAGGTTCAAATCTTATCTCTTCCACTTATGTAATCTGGGGCAAATCAACTTCATCTCTTCAAGGCTCAGTTTCCACGCTGGTAAAATAGTGGCGTTGGATTAGACAGGCTCTTTGAGCCCTAGATCTGTGATCCTGTGAACATTTGCACTTCACAGAAATGTCCCATTCTCATTGGACATGTATAAACAATTGTTTCTAATTGTCTAATTGTTCTTTACAGTAGCAGGATGATTGTTTTTCCCTACTCTGATTAATCATGATTCTTTACCTGTACCATTGCTACAGCTAGGGGTCACATATGATCTCTTCTCCTGGTATATGAGAGCTTTGTTGTTATTGTTGTTGAGTCATGTCTGACTTTTGGTGACCCTATTTGGTGTTTTGTTAGCAAAGATACTGGTTTGCCATTTCCTTCTCCAGATCATTTGAGGCAAACTGAGGCAAATAGGGTTAAGTGAATTGCCCAGGGTCACACAGCTAATAAGTGACAGAGGCCAAATTTGAACTCAGGAAGATATGTCTTTCTGACTTCAGGCGCAGCACTCTATCCACTGTGCCACCTAGTTGCCCCAGTATGACAGCTGAAAGTTACTTATTCATTAAGTAAAATGAGTTCCTTGTAATGGTGAAGTGTATGTGTGTGTGTGGTGGGGTTTAGGCTGTAGCAGGAGGGGAGAGGTTAGGCATCTTAGATCTAGAGTTAGATAAGATCTTCAGTGTTATCTAGTGACCCTTTCATTTTCACATGAGGAAAGAGAAGCCCAGGGAATTTAAGTGACTTGCACTAAGTCACACAGTAAATGACAGAGACAAAATTCAAACCCTGATCCCTCTCACCCCCACCCACAAATTTATCATAGCAGCTTTTTTTCCTTTTCATTTATCTGGAGTAGGGCATGTGTATTTGGAAAGAACGTTATCGTAGCTGAAGTTTATATGGCACATTAAGCTATAGAAGTATTTTACAGATATTATTTTACTGGGGTCTCATAACCACCCTTTGAGAATGATACTTTTGTTGTGCCCATTCTACTAATGAAGAAATCAAGGGTTGCAATGTTAAATGATTTGCACACTCTTATGCAGGTAGTGCCTGTCTCTGCTCTTCCTGACTCTAACTTTAGCCCTCTATCCACTTCCTGATGAAAAAAATAAAGAATGAGCCAATTTTATTTTGAAGAATTTTGGGTAAAAATGAAAAGCCTTGGTGAGCTAATGTGTTTTGTATCTTTTTTTGGAGGTGTTGGAGAAAATCTGACAGATCCATCTGTTATTAAACCTGAAGACAAACAGTAAGTTTCTTTTGATTTCTCTGTTGTCATTTAGCAAACCTGAGATTGTAGTAGTTGCTAGTTTTGGCAGGGATGAAGATATAGTAATAAACATGATATGGCAGGGGTAGTGAGATAGGAATACTTAACTCGTAACAGTCCATGCTCTTAACGGTCCTTTACTTCCAATGAGGTCAGACCCTTTAATTCTTTCAGTGTCACCCTGATGTAAGTCATTCAGTCTCATATCTTACAGTAAAATGGCACTCTTCCTGAGAAGGTGACCTAAAATGCTTTACAAACTCATCCAGTGGTGTGTAGGAAAAATATGTACTGATCTCATGGATGTGGTTACCTCTGTTCCTGTGCAGATTCCAGCTCTCCTTTGCCATTTTGTACCCTCCATTGAGGAATTTGGAGGCCTTTCTTTGGGTCTTTTTAATATCTTGTAGTTATCAATATTATTGTTGTTATTATTATCTCTCCCATTAGACTGAACTTTTGAGAACAGGGATTGCTTTTTACCTTTCTTTGTATCCTCATTGCTTAGCATAATGCTAGTTGACCCACCAGCACAATGTCCGGGCTTTCCATCCTTTGTACTTGTTACATGCTTGTATCACCTCATTTTATGTCATGTGTGCTTGATATCATATTGTGCCACTTATGTCTAAGTCATCATTGGTAATAAGTTGCAATTTGCTTACACTCACTCTTTCTTTACACTTTGGGTCACCTGCAGTTTCAATTTTTCTGAGAGTACCAACTAAAATCCCACCTTCTACAGAAACCCTTCCCCAACTTCTCCTAATTCCAGTGCTTTCCCTTTATTAATTATTTTCCATGTATCCTTATTCTAATTGTCTTTGTGCGTATTTGTTTGCATATTGTCCCCTTCATTAGATTGTAAGCTCCTTTAGGCCAGGTACTGTGTTTTGTTTCTTTTAGTATCCTCAGTGCTTAGCACAGTGCCTGGCACATAGTAGGTACTTAATAAATATTTATTAAGTGATTGATGATGGTGTTCCCCAATTCCTAAAGTATACACAATGCTGTCTAAAAGCAGTCATACCTTATAAAGGGAAATCTGTAGTTTTGACTACCAGTAGAGCTCATGTTAGAACTATTTAGTTCTGTATCTTTTGATAGAGACACATGATGTAATTATGAATACTTGTATTGGCCTTTGGGGAAAATAATCTATAAAACAGAGTAATAGATACATGATCAATTCAGGATTTTTAGGGGGGAGGTAAAAGGGATGGTATCTACACCTGTGATTTTGTTGGTGTAAGGAACTCTTGATTAAAAAAAAAAAGAACTCCATCAATGTAGATTGGCATCCGCTTTGCAACTTAAAGCCTTATTTGCCTGGGGAACTGAAAAGTTCCGTGACTTGGCCAAACTCAAACATTTGTGTCCAAAGTGGAAGTTAAATCCGAGTCTCTCTTGTTTTCTCCAATCAAGAAATACCCCCAAGATAAGGCTCACCCACATTAACACACACACACACACACACACACACACACACACACACACACACACACACAATGCCCCATCCTGAATTCCTTAGAAAAATTTTTATACGCCATAGAATTCATTCTACAGCCCATGGTATGTCCTTGAGGAGAAAATATATAAATTTCGTTGCTTTTAGCTAGTGCACGACTTAAAAAAATTTGTGCCCTCTTTAATCTACCCAAAGCTTGAGTCTGAGCAACAGTAGGTAACAGTTGTCTTATGGTACACGCATTTTCTTTTTGGTTTTGTAGTAAAATAATTTTGTGCCTATCATGAGCTAGGTATAAGTATACTTTGGTCATCAAATTTTAGCTTCCACAGATCTTCCTTTTTAGATTCTCTTGGTATTTATATCTTCCAGGATTTTTCTGTAGGGCTGGACTATTCCAGAGGATAATTGAATAATTGGCCCAGAGTTTGTGGGATGACCTTGACTTTTTGATGTTTTAGGTGGGAGCAAGAGTAGCATGTTACCCCTAGAGACTGTCATCTGGCATCCTGGCTTTTGATTGGCAGTTGTGGAAATTATCCAATGTCCATCCTATGTCTACTGGGTCAAGACTATAAAATAAAATTTCCTTCATGGGGCACAGTTGTTTTTTATGGAAGAACAGTATAGTCTAGACTTAGAAGTACCTCTCTCTGGTTTCTCTACCCATGTGTTTTTCTCCCTTCTCTTCCCTTCCCTAAGTGTTCCAGTGAATGTGACTATGACTATAGAATAACCATTTTGGTAAGTTAGACCTTAAACTGTCTTTTTCTTTATTAGTAGAAGGTTATCCACTCTATCTTCTTTGGCCTCAAAATTCCATTCAGTTTACTATTTATTCTGTGTGCATTAGGCAGTGTGCTATAGTGGATAGAGAACCAGCCTTGGAGTCAAAGAAGACCTGAGTTCAGATTCTGCTTCTGACACTTTGTGATCCTGGCAAGTCACTTAAAAAGTGCCACAGGCAGTTCTCTAAGATAATGTTACAAAACCAGGTGCTGATCTATATCGATAGATAGAGTTTTCCCACTGGAGAGCTTCCTATGCCATTGAAATCATGGGTCCACTCCAAAAAAAAAAAAAGGTATATGTGAAAGGCAGCACAGAAGACTAGATGGAAGGCCAGCCTTGATGTCAGTATGACCTGTATTCATCAATACCTTTGACACATTCTAGCTGTGTGATTATGAGCAAGTAAGTCATTTAATCTCTATGTCTCAGGCAGCTAAGACTAAATTGTAGAGGGATAGCCTGCCTACATGATGGAGTGAATTTCTGTACAAGGATTTTCTTAAGCTGATGAAATCAAAGGTCTGGGCAAAGACAAAGCTAAAATCATGCAAGGCACAAGGGTGCTGGGGGCAGGGCAGTACAAAGGCAAAAATGACAAAATGAACATTAATAAATGTCAAAGTCAAAGTAGTAATAGAAAATAATTGTCTTAATTTTCAGAGAGCTAATAACTAGTTGTATGTGGTGATCTGGAAATGCTTTATATAGAAAGAATATGATCTGGCTATTTGTATTAACTCTGTAGATCACCTCCCTGGGTGGTGGTAGCCTAAGTTCACACTGGTTCATCTCCAACTTGGGATATATTGGTAACTAGCAAATGTATCTTTTGTATGCTCATTGCTTCGTTCATTTTTGACATTTGACAAACATGAAGCGATGATGTGATGTTCTTTAGGAAGGCTATGTATAGCTGGCACTAATTAACGCTCACTTGCACGTGGAACAAAACTACCACCTGTTTTTCATATGTTTGGAGGCATATGAAAAATAGCAAGTCTTGAGGAGTGGCAGGTTTTTTTTTTCCCTTCTACTTCCTTATCTGAGACCGTGAGGCCATAGACATGTTGCTGGATGCAAGTGCAAAGCTCTTTAAAAGTCACATGTAAGCCAATGCCCACTTAAACACACATCCCCAGGAAATGTTTTAATCCCTCAGATTTATTTTACATTAGGGTTCTGAGGCATTTACATGTACTTTCATTAAAGATTGTGGAGAAAAATATTAGCTTATGTATGGCCACACCTTTTAAATTCTGAGAAATGGTATCACCTCTTTGGAAGTATTGCTCTGCACACAGAAATTGTAGGTATGTAATACATAAATACTCTCTAGTCAGATATTGCATTTGGGTCATGCTGAAGGGATAAACAGAAAGGAACTATTCAGTTTCTGAGACTAAAATAGCACTTTAAGTTTTCATTTCTTAGGCATTATGATGTGTAGTCATTAAATGTGGAATAATTCTGCTGTTTCCTTCCTTCCTTCCTTCCTTCCTTCCTTCCTTCCTTCCTTCCTTCCTTCCTTCCTTCCTTCCTTCCTTCCTTCCTTCCTTCCTTTCTTCCTTCCTTCCATCCCTCCCTTCCCTTCTCTTCCCTTCCCTTCCCTACCCCCCCCCCCCAGTATTTTATCACTCACCATATGGACTAATGGATTGATGTAGAGAAAGATGGTTAAGAAGGGCTAATTTATGCAGCTTTGTAAATACCACCAGAGCTGGACTTTGTAAATGAGTTTGAGTGACCAAGAAAGTTAATCCTAGGTGTTTGTTAGCTCTGAATTCCCAAGGGATTTCCCTACCACCTTCCCTTAGAGCATGGAGGCAATCTGAGATGAAATTGACATCAACCCTTAATCTGAGTTTGGCACATCTTCAGAGCAGCTGCTGCTGTTCTGCCAAAAGGAAGTGGAAATTGAGATAAATGCTTCAATGCTCAGACAGAAAAAAAGTCCATTTTTATGCTTTTTTTTTGAAAACCACATTCCTTAGAAGTGAAGTTTATTGTTTCCTTTTATTATATTTTGATTCTCTCCTGCCTCTTTTTTTTTTCCCTCAGGACTTGGCATTTAAGAGCCATAATTGAGTTCAGATTTTTAAAATATGTTTTTCTACTCTGCGTGTCATTAAAATAAAATATTAACTTTCATAGTTTCTTTGGAAGGATTTCTGGTATTCTGTGTTCTGGGATGTCTAGAGCATCAATTAAATTTTTAAAGAATAATGGTCATGTGGTGTTATAATTAATGAATATTGATCATAGGAACTACATTAAGAATCTGTTGTAATTATGTGGTACTCCTTAAACATGCTTAATATATCCAGATTCTATTTATTATTTTGTCACTACATTTAGTATGTGTGGTTTCTTTGCACCAGTGAGCTAAGAGAAGTAATCCATTCTCAAGAGGGAGACTAGCAGTGAAAGTTAGTACAGTGGAAGGCAGCTTTTAGAATCACTTGTTCATAGAACTCTTATAGCCCTTCATCATGTGTTTTTTTGAGATGATATAACTCATGTTTTGGAACTTGCATTTGGATTTGAAACACTGCATGTGAGTCCAGTTAGTAAGTGTGTTCTAATAGCAAAACTAATTTTATTTTGCAGCTTATCTGTTGGGTACTCTGGATGAACACTCTATAATGAATGTCATTCCTTTCTCCCCCAAGCATTCAAAAGGGGCTTTCTGTATTTTTTTTACTATTGTGCATAGAAAATTCTCTCTTCGATCAGATTATCGTGGAAATGAATTTCCCAGTAGTCCGTGGAGTTGGGTACAAGGATTTAAGTGCATTTGAATTTTAAATGTGCAAACCTAACATTGTTACTTCTCTTCTAAAAGTTCTCTGTTCTTTGTTGGCATGCACAATTTTACTGGGTTACTATGGGAGACTGTTAGGTATCTTAGAGAATCTGAGTCGGGCTCCTTTTTCTTAACTGTGATCTAATTTATATTCTGATATTTCCTCTAGATCAAGAGGGATGGTGTTTGGACCGGCAAATTTAGGGGAAGATGCAATTAGAAACTTCATTGCAAAGCATCGCTGCAATTCCTGTTGTAGGAAGCTCAAACTCCTGGGTATGCCCCCAGACAATTTTATTTTTCTCTAAACAGATGTCTCTTAAAACAGCATGCATGGTAGCATGGAATTGAAGGGGAAAATTACAATCAAATTTTTGTCTCATTAAATTTTAAAGACTCAAAAAGGATGAAAGCATAGTGATTGATTTTAATTTCTGTCAGTCTGTGATCAAATAACATCATGTTAGACGCTCATCCCGTGGAACTTTTGAAGGATAACTCCCACAGAGGAAACAGGGTGAGAATTTGACTCAAGGGCTAGTTTGGAACTCTCTTCCCTAAGCTTTCCCCACTACCCATACTTTTTTCCCTCCTTATTGATTTTCTGGTCACTGGGTTGTACTGTCTGGGATTTCCCTACATTGTCCTTATTTACCTGTCAGACACTTTGGTGGGGGTTGGGAAGGGGTGACCATGATGGGGCACAAAAGAAATAGCATCTGTCGAGTCAGAGTGCTCTGGTATTCATTACATCACCTTGTCACTTTAAACACACATTCTATTATTTTTTTTTTGGAGTTGATTTGTGACTCTGTTTCCAGTGGGACCTACCTTGTTACCACTACAATTACTTCAAACATAAAAGCAAGCAGCTGAAGGAATTCCTCCCCCCGCCCAAGACCTCACTCAGATCAGAGAGTTCTTGCCGCGTGATGTTTCTTCATTCCAAGAAGTGAAGCTTTTAGTTTGGGTCACCTTACTTAAGGTTTGATTTTTCTCCTCCAGTTCAAGCACTGAAATGTTCCTTAAAAGTAAGGTATTACTTTTCCACTATGAGGATTTTTCACTGCTTATAGTAAGGTGACTTGCCCTCCTCCAAATTATCTTTCTTTTTGCCTTAATGTGGAGTAAACTTAGGGGTAAATTTACAAGCCAAAAGTGTTGTTCCTAGTCCAGCTAGAGAAGAATAAACAAAGTCCAATCTTGTGCTCAAAACCTGTGTTTTTAAAAAATAAATGCTTTTAATGAATGCTTTTTCATTCATTCATTCATTCTAAAAATTGTTGTGATAGGCAGTGTGCCATAGTGGATAGAAAGCTAACTAGCCTCGAGTCCAGAAGATCTGAGTTCAAATCCAGCCTCTGACACATATAGCTGTGTGACATTGGGCAGCTTCTCAGTACCTCAAGGAATTGCTTAAAATTCTAAGTTGCAGAATAGTTACTGGTATGCATTGGTAAAGAGAATTTCTCACCAGGAGTTTTTGGCCAGATGTACTCATCCCAAATGATGTAAAATGTTTCAGTCCCGGATTAACTTCAAACAGATGTCAAAATAATAATAAGGATTCAAAATAGGAGTCACTGGGACACAGATATGTGAGAACAAGAGCGGTTGAGGCTGGCATAGGTATCATACGTTGACTCTACTTATTGGAAAGGAATTAGACTAAGGTCCTCTGCTTTTATGTTAGTACCTTGTTTGCCAGACCATACTGTCTCTTGGTAATTAGACATTTGAAGCCCACTTCATTTTGAAACTGACTAGGCCAGTTTCCAGAAACTGAGGACATTGGTGATGACTGATCCAGCAAAGCAGAAGATTAAGCCAATGCTTTAAGCAGCTTGGTCCCTGAAGACCATTGGTCTGGCTTAATCAAAGCAAAAGAGACGGTTTTCTCTGTTATCCCACTTCACCTCCCAATTTATGTTTGGGGATTTTTTTTTTTGGTGGGCCTGAAATGTTCAATAATTATCTAACTCTCTAGGCACAATCTGTTTGTTTTTACTATCCCAGCAACATCTAATTGATAAAACCAAACAATCATATTATCCAGTAATCTTGGCATTTTGACTTTAACAGATATTTTCAGAAAAATAATCAAAACTGTATTTTTGTTTTAAACCAAAGAAGCCAGCACAAGGGTGGCCATCCAAATGGAGCCTTCAGGTTGCCAAACCTCAGATGCACTTTTGCAGCAAACTGCTGTTTGCATGTGCTGTAGCAGAGAGACAGCTCAGACCTTGGAATCAGGAGACCTGGATGACTGTGGCAAGTCATCTAAGCTCTCCTAGCCTCGGTTTCCTTTTATGTATAAAAAGAAAGTCTGTTTTACACTACTTATCTCATAGGATTGTTGTGAATAAAATATTTTGTGAACTTTAAACTTTAAAATGTAATACCCCTATATGTTTTTTTAAACTGGATCTATGATTTCATAGCATCATGGCTTCAGAGCTGGAAATTACCTTAGAGGTCACTGAGTTTACCTGCTTGCTCCACAGATAAGAAAACTGAGGCCGAGAGTTTAAGTGGGCCTTGCAGGTCCACATAGCCAGTATATCTCAGAGGTTGGATGGGTCTTCCCGACGCTGAAGTCCGTGTCTTACTTCGCTATGCCATGCTTCTAAAGTTATTATTGTTTTTTTATTTTCTTCCATTCTAGGAAGCAGTGCTTTTCATCTGTCTCATTCATTCTGCTTAGTGTCGGTTATTTCTCCTCTAATTCATTCACCAAACAATTCCCTTCAAATATCAGTTCTGTTTTTCTATTTGGAAGAAATTTTCACTGATTAGAATATGTTGATTTATCCTGTTATTGAGCGATAACATGGCTTAGTGAAGCTTAGCTTACTTAGAGCCAGAAAGGCCTTAGTTCAAATCCTGTCTCTGATACTTTCTGGGTGTGGGACCCTAGGCAAGTCCTTTAATTGCTAAGTGACTGGCAACTCTCTAAAGCTGTAAGCTGCAGAATACTTACAGACTCTATTGATGGAAGGAGTTTCCTCCTCAGGAATGCCCTTCAACAATAAAATTAAATCACAATTTTTGTTTTTGGAAAAAACCAAAACCCCAACAACAAATAAAACACAATTATTATTTTTACCCTGAGTTCAATTTAGGCTCAAATTCTTGGCTCTGCCATCCAAAGATGTCATCTAAAGGTGTCCTATTTATTACTAACTATGTCCTAACTATGTTAAGGGCAGTAGGTATCAAAGAATCCTGTCCTCGAGAAGGCAAGCCTCAGAACCACCTTGGATGAATCAGAGTAAGGACACATGGAAGTGATCCTTGCAGTCAGTGGTTGAGAAACACACTGAAGTAGGGCTTGTTAAGTTTGTGGCTTTGGACTGGTTCCTAGGGGAGGAGCCTTAGTCACTTGCTGAAGCCTGACTCAACCAGGTGAATAGCTAGCTTGCCTTTGAGGCTCTTGTATAACCATTTGACTTATCTTCTCCCCACAGATCTCAAAAGGAATGACTACAGCCCTGGGAGAATCAATTCTACCTTTAATCTCCAAAGAGAAATAGAATCAGCTAACGGGACTGTGAGAGAAGAGGGTGCTGGTGACCCCAGAGAATATCTCACACGCTTGTAATGGAAAAGAATGGGGAAGAGGATCACTGCTGGTCCTCTGAACCCTTGTGCAAGTGCGATGTTAGATAACTTTGATACTTGTGTGTATTCTGTTGCACCTTAAGCCCTGACGCTAGGACTTGGCTTCTCAGATGTATATTTCTTATCTATGCCAACAACCCGGTGGATGCTTGAAGTATGGGCTCCTATGGTTCTTCACTCTCTGTGCATTCATATTTTCCATGTATTCTTAATTCTAATGTCTGCAAAAAGACAATTGCAAGTCATCTTGAATATAGTTCATGTATACCTCTGTTCCTTTGCTGGTCACTTGGAACCTTTATAGTCAAATGGTAGATAGCCAAGAACCAATGGGCTTCATTTAGCTAATTATCTTTCTTTTTTTTTTTTAAGACCAGATATACTATTACTTAAAAGTTCCCTTTATTATATTGAATTCAATATACTTTTCTAGACATTTGTAGTTTTTCCAGGAATTATTTGGTTATGATCATGTCATCTGTTTACAAACATAATATACATTTTATAGAATAAGATTCTATACTTTCTGCAATGCAAAAAACCCCAGGCAAATTTCCTAGTTATGGTGTATGTGCTTACTATCAAACTGCCAAACTTCAATCTAATTTAGGTTATTTTTGAAAACTAAAATATGCAAATAGCGCCAATACCTTTTATAAAAGTATGAAACTAATTTATCAAGAGGAAACGTAGTTATCATTTTTGTTATTCTTGTTCAGGAAAGAAAACATCCTCAAGATGCCAAATACATAACAATGATAAAAGATTATACAAATGTGTACTGTTTACATATTTAACTTTTGATTTCAGCAACCACTTCATTTAATTTATAGCCGGAGTCTTATATACATGCTCTAAGTTTTCTGTCTTTTTGGTACTATTGCCAGACTTGATACTTAATGCTCTCAGATAAATACTTAGTATAAAATTTGACAAAGGAAGAAAACCTTTTCTTTAGCACTATGGATATTGCCTATATTTATAAAAAAAATTCATGTGTATGCTGTAAATTTTATTTCCTATTGTGAGCCAACTTTTATATTTCAGTTTAAGATCTGTTAATCAAACCAACAGTATGACATTTGCCTAATTTACAGTTTAATTAACAAGATTATGTTAGACTAGTCAAAGTAGAATCTTCTAAACAATTTTTAGAGCAAAAATTGTCAGGGCACTTCATCTAGCATTCTTCATAAATACAGTTTTTTCCAAAGCATAAGTTATTTTGGTTGGATGACCTGTAGCAGTGCCCTATTTATTGTCTTTCTAACTAGTAAACAGGTTAATTTACAGAGGCTTAGAAAGCTAAGACTGGACACAGTAGACTTGATTGGCTCTTACTTACAATGCATACTATGACATCACATATTTAAGAAGTTTTCTGTATTCAGCTTAGAAGATGTTTCTTGCCAAGAAATTGAACTTTTCTGTCAAATGCACTTGAGAATGTGAATTTGGGTCATAAAATGGTTTCACTGCAAACTTTATATATAAATCAAAGGCATCACTAAAGGAATTCTTTATTCCATCTTCTTGTCTTACATCATGAAGCATAATAAATCTCATATGGCCTACAGTAACAAAAGCAGAAACAAACCACTCATTGAATTTGTCCACAATATTCAGGTACACATTGTTAGACAGCCACTATTTTCATCTGCTAGGTCAAGGGCAACATGAGCCATGAACTGGTTCGGATGATGATGATCATACTGTGGGCATGATGTGGCACCTGCACCAATTGCACCGGCCACCCTCCTTACTCAGACAGTCATTTTCTTAAGTAAGTGTTCTCCACACCACTGCTCATCATCATCATGAACAGCTATTGTATTTGAGTAAAGAAAGCAGTTCTCTGAGCATTAACTCCTTCTCCCTCCTGTCCAGAACACAGGGGAGAGAGAGAGAGAGAGAGAGAGAGAGAGAGAGAGAGAGAGAGAGAGAGAGAGAGAGAGAGAGAGAGAGAGAGAGAGAGAGAGGGAGAGGAGGGAGAGGAGGGAGGGAGAGAGAGAGAGAGAGAAGACAGACAGAGAAGAGAGAAGAGACAGAGAGAGAGAGAGAGAGAGAGAGAGAGAGAGAGAGAGAGAGAGAGAGGAGGGAGAGAGAGAGAGAGAGAAGAGAGAAGAGAGAGAGAGAGAGAGAGAGAGAGAGAGAGAGAGAGAGAGGAGAGAGAGAGAGAGAGAGAGAGAACGAGAACGAGAACTGATAAAGGGGGAATAGAAAGGAAACTGGAGTACTATTTGCATAGACTGTAGGACACCACTGATGCACAGACTGATTAGAAATTTAGAGCCCTGTTGAAACCTGGATAGTCTCAAGGTGTTGTTTCTGCACTGCATGATACCAGGAAATTTCTGTTTTATCAGGAAGGAGGGAGAGGGTAAATGGAAAACAGATTCATTTGTGCCTCATTTTGAGTACAAAAATAAACTGAACTGAAAGATACCACGGTTGTTTTTCCTTCCTATGAGTTCGTGGGGTGGAGGGTGCAGCTGGGGGGGGAGGGGTTGTCAAATAGATAAAGGAAGGTTTACTAAATTGCCTGCCAAAACATCCATTCCTTTGCTAGTTTATAGTACCACACATGTAGTGTCATTGCAGGGGAAATAACTTTGTGTTCAGCCCAAGCAGTGAAGATATGACTTCTGGTTGAAAACAGTAAAACAATATGGTATCAAAGAGAGGTCTGTTAATATTTTTTAAAGTACAACCTAAGAATATGTAGGTCATGAAGACAAAATGAACTAAGGCACAGAGGAAAAAAATTCTGAAAGCCAAACTACACAAAGTATTTTTGAAGTGAGGAGATTTGCTTACACTCTGTAGGCCAGATTTCCCTGGACATGCTTTTTTCAGAACAAACTGTGTATGTAGATGGGAGACGCTTAGCTAGGGATTGGCACGCTGGGAAGGGCACTGCTTCTGGAGTCAGAGGACATTGTTGTTATTTCAGTTGTCTGCAACTCTTTGTGACCCCATTTGGAGTTTTCTTGGCAGAGACAGTGGAATGGTGTGCCATTTCCTTCTCCAGCTCATTTTACAGAAGTCAAATTTGAACTCGGGTCTTCCTGAGTCCAGGCCCAGTGCTGTATCCACTGTGCTACCTAGCTGCTCCAAGAGGAGATGGGTTTAAATATTACATCTGATACTTTTTGTGTGCCTTTGGGAAAGTTACTGAAACCTTCCTGTGCCTCAGTTTCCTCGACTGTAAAATGAAGTCAGACTAGATGGTCTCTGAAACCTTTTTCAGCTCTCAATCTATGATATTAAAGAAGGAAGATCATGAAGATCTGGCTTCCTTTTAAAATGTCCACTTCAATGACTGTGAATCTCTTGGGTTTGGAAATCTCTAGGCTGTCTTTATCCCTGGCTCTTAGCTTAGTGAATTTGCTCGATCCTTCCAGCATGGCAGACTGCAAGGATAGAGCGCTGGATTTGGAGTCAGGAAGACCTGGGTTTGAATTCCATCTCTGACACTAACTGGCTATGTGACCCTGGGCATATGACTTGGGTCTTGATATACTTATCTGTAAAATGGGTAGGGTTGGACTCAATAAACTTCAGGGTCCCTTCCAGCTCTAAATTTATAATCCAATGGATTCTTACTCTGGAAGAATGAAGATGCCATGCATACAGAGATATTTGTCATTTATGCTATTTGGATACTTGTCTGAGTGTCAGGAATGGCCTTTTCCCCTTTATACCTTTTGGCTGGTCACAGATGGCATTTTAATTGATTTTCATAAGGAGGTAAGGAGGGTAGAAGGTATGTATGCAGGGAGAGGATCTCTACCAAAATGTTCATTTTCTAAAATGAGTTTATATGTTTAACTAGCTTTGGAGATCTATAAAGGGTCTGATGCTTCTCATTCCTGTGCTTGGTGCTCTCAAGTGCCAAACTAGAGATAGAAACTTCAAGAAGATGAAGCTTGAAGACAAATACAGACTGATTCCACACTTTTGTATTATGCTGTTGCTGTTTTTTTTTTTTTAACAAAGTCAATAGCATTAGATTTTTTAAAGGTAAACTGCAAGGTGAAAATAATTGTATGGACTGCAAATGTGCAGCTATCTGAGCCCCAGAGAGAACTATCTCGGGGATTGATTTATGTTGGTAAATTAAGTGACCTGCCTATCACTACTATCATCAAATAACATTTTTCTCCTTGAAGGTGATGATACCATCTTAGTCTCTACATAGGTCAGTAGTTATTTATGTCAAGACAAGATTTTGAATCAAGTTTGCCAAATGCTGATACCTGTGTCAAATACAAGTAGAAATGGGGCCACTAAACCATACATAAGGATCCCTGAAAGCACATATTGACTTGGAGAACCACATATTAATGTTATCTAGGTGTTTTTATTTATTTTGTTAATTATTTCCCAATTACATTTTAATTTGCTCTTTGCCTTACTTGGGAGTGTTGTGGGCCTCTGGGGCCCTGCAGGCTGCATGTTTGATACCTCTGCTCTAAAAAAGTCCTTACAATTATAAGTTGGAGAAAAGCTGTTGACCTGCCAGATGGAAGGTTGGTGTTCCCTGTCCCAGTGAAGTCACTGGTCTGGTCATTCTCCCTCCGTCTTGTAAACCAAATTCTCAGCTAGTTCTTAGATCTCCCTATCCACCGTGGCATTGATAATGCCACACCACTGTTTTTTCACTCTCCACAGCCTTGAAATAGGATGTTAATTTCCCAGAAGCCCTCTAGAAATCATCATCACTTTATTCCTCTGAAAAAGGAGATGGATTGAAAAGTCATTTGAAAGATGGGTCATTATCAAGATACAGTACTATTTTTTTGACTCACATCTCTCCAAAGCATGAGAAAGGCAGAATTATTCTCAGAGGTTGGGATTTGAAAGCTGTGTGTTTACTTCTTTGAAGTCTTGGTATTTAATTTTCTGTAGTCATTTCTTGGGCAATTTTCTAAGAAACTCGTTGAAGCTAATTTATTATAAGTTAAAGTCAAATGACAGAAAGGATTTTTTTCCCCCTTAACAACATTCTATTCCACTGAGGTTAGCTTCTGAAGAAAAATGAGACTTAAAGAGTATTTCAGATCTCTTGCAACATGGGTGAGTGCATCGAATAGAAAGGGATCTGGAAACCACACTGATTTAGACTTTGACATGTAGGAAATTATCATGTGATCTTTCTTCAGAGTCCCTGATGTGCTGATAGAACTTTGCATTTTTATGATGTGAAAAGCCTTCCTTGAAAATAATTAGATAAATTCCTTAATATTTCAAGGAGGACTAGTTTTATACTTAGAGCAATGGAAGTTAGAAGCCTTGGTCTCTCCTCCTACTTCTTTTTCAGTCTTTTGGGCATAATTGTATAATTCACTTAACCTTTCTGTTTCTTCCAACTGTGAAATGCAGAAAATGATGCTTCTTCAAATGAAAGTGAGGGATAATGAAATAACAGTTGGAAAATCCTTTGAACCTCATTTTAAAGGCATTTCATAAGCATAATATGCAGCTCAATAAATAATATAGAATTTTCATGTTTTGATATTGTATCATTTATTAACGATATTCTGGTCTAATGTAAGCTCTTGGAGACTGGGGAAGGTTTCATTTTTGTTTTCGTAACTTCAGTGTCTTATTGTGCCTAACACTTAGAAGGCACTTAAATACTTTTTGAATTGATTGGATGTTTACAGGAATCGTGTATCTGTTTTTTCCTCTCAGATTTTCTAAGTATGAACAGATACGAATTCCAGCTACTGGCTCTTTCAGATGAGTTGACAATCTAGTGGGCCTTGCTTTACCGCACTAATGTGTCTTCAGTCACTGTGCTGGGCCATTTTGGTGTGTCAAAAGAAAATCCTTGTGCTGTTACAATACATCAATGTTCCTTGCACTCCTTCATGCCCTTTTAACCAGAAGGATTGAGAGTGGTGACCATGATAGAGGTAGGTGGAAGAACAGATGAGTATATGTGTGTTTAATATGGATGAGAGGAGGAAATGTATTGGGCAGTTGGCTGGGTTATATTCCAGTGAATGCCTGGATAAGGTTCCAGGTGTATCAGACTGAAAAGGGCTACAGGATAAATGTGGGCAAAATATTTGAATTATGGCAGAGAACTGATAGAAGCTCTTTGTTGGAGTAATAAATTCCACCTGGATTTTTTTTTCCTTAAATCACCAAAGCCAAAGTGAAGCAGTGCTATTAAGTCTATAAGCCTGGAGAAGAGAGACAAATCATAAGTAGATATGGAATTCCATTAACCATAAAGCAAAAGGTAGCATGGTATACTGTGTGGAAAGAGTTCTGGATTTGGGATTATTAGACCTGGCTTTGAATATGAACTCTGCTGCTTAGTACCTTTATGTCCTTGATCACATTATTTTAATCTTTCTGAGCTTCAGTCTTCTCATTTTTAAAACGGAGGGGATGGATTGGATGATTGGGGAGTTTCTTTCCAGCTCTGAACCTGATTCTTGGATATTCTGTAAGTGGAACAAGTCCTAGCTCTGGAGTCAAAGGGGATGGTGAGGCCATGGTGCTGCCAAACTTAACATCTCTGAAGTGATTATCTCTAGACCTTTCTTCTAAGGAAGATAGTTTTATGGACCATTCTCACTTACACCATCATGAGGTACATAGAAGACTGTAAGTTCCCTTGTGATCTGTCTCTGTTCTATACATTACTTTTCTGGAGGAGCTGAGTGCAAGCCCTTTCATTTAGAACATTTTCTCCATTTGGATTTTTTATACTTTTCTGAATAATTTATGCACCAGCCACCAAAGGCATGCTTGAAGTTTGGCAAGATATATTACATACATTTAGTAATATTCCAGTTCTTGATCCAAACAGTATAATGTATTTTTCCACATTCTTCTCCTTTCCATACTTTTGTTTGGGATATTATTTTATAGTATACAAAGGTTTGTAGGTATAGATAGACTATTATAATTTTTTAATGGCAATGTACCA